AAGTTAGTAGGTACAGTACTATAAACCACATAACTGTGTTGTGCAATAATAGCTGCCAGTTTTTGAATAGTAAACTTCATTATCCTATAAATTACGACTAGTGGGTGCTTTATAATTATGTGCTTTAAGATTCTCTAGGTCCATAAAGTGAATTTTGTGTACCATATGTTTACAGAGTTTTCTTCCAGCAATTACAAAACTATGGTTTTATGGTTTTTCTTGATTATCCAGAATACTTTAAACATGCTTGATTTGACAAATACACTTGCTTAACTTTTAAGATAAAATTCCAGAGGAAGGAACTACTGTAAGTTTCAAATAAGTTATAAAAAATCATAGCTAATCTGGTTAGATAGTAGATAATCTTGCTTACAGATTTACAGCTACATAGGGCAATTTAACAAAACTAATTAAACAATCAATCTTGCAAGACTGCAGTTGGTGACTCCAAATAAGAAAAGCTGTGAACTGCCCTGAGAAACTTATTATAGCGATGTGTCCATCTATATACATGTATACACTCACCTTCACATACATATGGGGCTTGATGTACGACCACAACAGAGCCCAACATTTCCATTGTTAAGCAAGACAGTTGTTAAGTGACTCATTTTATGACTTTTTGGCCATGGTTGTTAAGTGACTCACTGAAATTATTAAGTGAATCATGCGGTCTTTAAGCAATGGCTTCCCCCATTGACTTTGCTTGTCAGAAGCTCCCTAAGAAGATTAGAAATGATAATCCAAAGACCCCAGGATGCTGCAACCATTGTAAATACATGCCGGTTGCCAAACACCTAATTTGACCACATGGCTGTGGGGATGCTGCAGTGGTCATAAGTGTGAAAATTGATCATAACTTTTTACCTTCCACAATTTCACTGCTGGCTTCTCCATTGGTCAAAAGTTGGCAGAGAACTACTTAACATGTGAAATCATGCAACCGCAGGATGCTGTAACGGTCATAAATGCCACTGGTTGTGAAAGTGCCTAAATCTCAAACACATGACTGCAGGGATGCTGCAACACTCATAAAGTTACTTTTTCAGCATCATTGTAACTTTGAATGGTCACTAAACAGGGTAGTCATTAAGTGAGAACTACCTGTATAACAGGGTGTTTTTTAGCAATTTCATCATGAATAAATGATAAAATGATTTAAAAACAGAATAAAGATTTTTGTGAATTTATGCACAAAACCCTATGTGTATGATCACTACAATTACCATATGCTGAAATTCTTGATAGTAACTATACTGTAAAAATATCCAGTGCCTCAGACACATAACTTGTTCAACAACTGGTAAAACAGAAGTAGCCTCCGATGCATTATATCAAAGAAAAAACAGTACATATCAATATTTTTATTATATTATCCTTATTTTCACCAGAATAATTAAGTTTGCATAAATTCCAGTGCCTCAAACTTGCAAGTAACATGGTTCAGGTTTTATAGGCAACACTGGTATTGATTGTTCGTAATAGGAATTACTAAAAAGCTCATGGAATTTAATAGTACATCACAGAACAAACTATAGCCATGATAAATAGTGTAAGAGAACAGGTCAAAGAATAAGAATTAGTACCTTGCCCTGTGAAGATATTATCTAAATTAGCAAGAGCTGCGTATTTATCTGCTGACTGGAGACATGGTTTATTCACTACAGCTTTACTGGCTGCAGTTGTGTTGCTCTGAGAACCACCGAAGGCTCCAAAATCAGCACTGGAGGATTTGGGGAAGTTATCAAAGTGTGCAAAGTTAGCATTCACTGATCCAGCGCTCCCACCTGCAACAAAATAAGTTAAAAAGTTTTCAAGCTCATTGAAAGTCTCTTTAAATGTATTTGGTGACCATGTATGCTAATGTACTTATAGGTCACACTTTTTATAAAGTTTCTCTATTTCAAAATCTTGATTGGTTAAAACCGGTATTTTAAATTCCAAATCTGGAAGCCCTAGCCTTATCAGCCTCAGAGCAAAGTGATGGAAATGCATGTTGCAGCAAAACTAGCCTCAATGATTCACACAAACATGGTTTTGTTTTAGGCTCTTATCTCTTTCTGCAACTAAATTAAATTGAAATTCCTTTAATAAAAGAATATTTGATAAGTTCCGATAAACAGCACAATGTCTTTAATTTTTTTTTAAAAAACCTATCAAATTAAGAAGTAAATATATCACTTCATATCAATTTAGCATGGTCTAATTTCTTTGTAATTTTTAATACCGTATTGCTATGAAGAACTAAAAGCAGGAGAGCTAAAGAGGAGTGAATTATATTATTAGGGAACAAAATCCTCATTACTACTTCTGGGAATCAAGTATTCAATGTTTTAAACTTCAAACTGCAAAAGTGAATGCTAATGTTTGGTGCTTGATTACACAGCTCTCTTTCCCTTTGAAGTGATTAGTCCATGCACTCTTCTTCCACAAAAATAAGAGGTGAAAAACTGTGACATTCAGATGCTACTAAACTATAACTCCTAGCATCTTCAATACTAGTCACAATGGTTTGAGCCACTGGAAGTTGTAATTTAGTGATTATTTTGCTGGCTGTAGATTGGATAAGGAAATTATAAAAATATTTGAAAGGCCAGACTGGTTCTATATTAACATGCTAGAATAAATAACAATAATAACATCATCCAAACCAATTCACGGCTGGATAGAGGCCTTTTCATTAAAAGTCAGGGTCAAAAATCTATTACTCTGGTCCAGTGTAGGTTGCTAGATATGTTTTTATTTACCCACTGAAGGGCTGAGAGTAACTGGTCCCAAAGGCTACCAGCCAATTTCCATGCTTAAGGGCTAGAACTTGGGTGTTTCCACCCTGTTCACATTGTATCACATTGGTTCTCAAACCCCAGAATATCATTTTTTAATTTATTTACACAATTTATAAGGCCATCCAATTAGGAAACTGTGATTCTGGGTGACTAACATGGGATTGAAACATAAAAGAAGGTAAACAATAAAAATAAAAAATAAAAAACTCAGCATAAAACAACACTTACAGAGATCAAAAACATTTACTAGACTGGTTCATCCAACATCCTGGCCTAATGCTGGAGAAAAAAACAGTTTTTTCAAACTTCATAGAACACTAACACTGTCAGGCTCATCTGAAACTCAAGGGTCATATTATTCCAATGGGTAGGTGCTGTGACAGAGAAGGGTCACATCAGATGACACTAGTTCATAGAGGAAACCTAAGTATGTCCACTTTCTTGGATCTCATAGGATTGGCAGACATAGACAGAGATATGCAATCCCAACTTGGACTTGTACTATGAAGAGCTTTATAAGCGATAATCAGTATCACAAATTACAACCCCAAACCAGTGTAGTTCATGAATGTGATATTACATGTATATTATATGGTGCACCCACCACCATCTATGCTGCAGTATTTTCAGCCAACCAACTGTACTGCATAGGATGGAGTTGTGCAAATATCCCTTTTTGCCACAGTAGTCACCTGTTCTTCAAACAAGAACCACGAGTACAAGACAACCTTCAAAGTACATGCTAGTTCTGTATGGGAGAGTGGGACTCCATTCAGAACTAAAGACAGAAAATCTCCAGCTTCAGGTATCCTAAAAACCACAGCCACTTACCATAGCTGACCTGAAGCACATGTATCACCATCCATACCCCCTTAGCCTCCAAACATTGGGGGAAACTGATAGCTCCATTTGACCATCCCTGGTCACATATAGATAGCTGTGTATCCTCATCTAATTGATATTAATCCTGTGACTATGGATGACCTTACCGAGCAGCTTCATATAAATGCTGAATAGGAGATGAGAGTGTAAAGCCCTGAAGATGCTGCAAAGCTGGGGTGTAGGGCTGAATCTCTCCCCCTACTAGCGTCAACTGGAATTGGTTGCAGAGAACAGACAACTAACTTTCCCCTAACCTTAATTTTCTGAAGTCAATCCAGAAGGACACTATGTTCAGTGCTGTTGAAAACCACTGAAAGATCAAGGAAGGCCAGGATGGATGTGCTGCCTCCTTACTGATCCCATCAAAAGTCGTATACATATATATCAATATGTTTTCAGCACTATATCCCGATCTGAAACACAACTACCTTCACAGGAACCTTCCAGTCATAATCATCTCCTCCCTAAAGGATGCATTTACTACTTTGTGGATATAACCACACATCATCTCCTAGGAACTCTTGACCAACCATGAGGGTTGTAGATCTAATATTCAGGTGGCTGCACTTCCCACCCCAAGGCCCCTGTTCATCTTATCAGAAATATTACAAAAACATATCACAGTCAATCCCAAAGGACCTGAACAGCTGATCCAATTCAGAGTGAATCCAAGTGACTTTATCCAACACATGTACTAAATAGTCTTCACAGAGCCTTGCAGATATTCCTCAGAACCGTCTTTGCCCAGGAGAGACCAGATCACCTTGAACAGGGCTATCAGCCCTCTTTGTGGACATGATAAAGAGCAGAAAAATAAAGAGCTGCTCTTATCATTATGAGGTAATTCTTAACAAATGCTTTCTGTTTCTCCCCAGGATCCTCTTCTCCCATTTCAATTGCCAGGGTTACTCTAAAAAGTAGGAACTTTTCAGAATCCACAGCAGAATCTTATAGGCACATATGTTACAAGGCTGTTCCAAGCAATGAATAAAGCCTCAGCTGAGCTGCGCAGAGCTTCAGAGAAGACTCTAAATTCCTCTGAAATCCAAAGGGATCCATCAGGCACCTGGGACAGACCAATCAGATGGATTCTTCTATTCTGTAGTACAGACCAGCTACAGATAACTCCAAGGCTACCTGGGAGTGATCTGACCACAAGAACGGACAATAACATCTCTCAACTACAGATCATATTGTCTGGGCCTGAGATAAAGAACAGTTCTATAACCATGACTGCTACCATGAATTGAGCCTTCAGTAATCTGGGGGAAATGCATGGTGGCTATGAACTCCCAAGCCAATCTCACCTTGTCCCAGGGAAAGGGAAATTAAAGCCCCTCACTGCTCAAGTACTAAATTTTGGAAATTCTACTAGCAACTTGACCATAGCATCAAACAGTTCATAGCAGGGATGATGAACAGTAGAAATCCCATTTGATCTCTAGAGTCAACTATCATTATCAACCGTTTTCATACCCTGTTATCTGCAGAGCAGTGCTGCTAAAAGCCACCAAGTCTCTTGGTTAATTATGATAACTCCACTACCTTTGCCCTGAGTCATGGCTTGTGGGAACATTTCTAAGATGGGAACACCTCCCTTAGTGCGCAGGAATGTTTTGGTGATATATTCTAGGCTGGTCCTCTCATCCATTATCAGATTGTGGAGGAAGGGGAACTAGCATCATAAAAGGCCGATCTGGCATTTGGCAGCAGCTGCAAAAAGCCTGGGCCAATAAAGCTCCAAAGACAGGCATAGGAACCAGCACAGGAGGCTGGAATGTAGAATCAATGTTATATAAAAATTGAACTATATTATACAGTAACCTGAAATGTTTGAGATTTTTGTGAATACTAAAAACTGTATTACATTTTCCACTTATTTGCGTAAAGAAAACCATTGTAACTATGACTTTTACTCTCTACATTTGGTGGGATACATTCTCAAGTGCAAGTAAGCCAATGTACTAGTAGCAAGCACGTACTATTAGGTAGCATCTTTTGAAGAAGAACAAGTAAGAAAACCTGAACATGACACAGTGGAAATGAGATAAAATGTCACTGTAAATTAAATGAGCTGAGTTTCCCACCTTGGTGGAACTTACTGCGCATAGCCTGGCCAGGGAAAGCAGAAGTAGTAAAGTCACCAAAACTGCAGCTAGATGAGAGCGTTCTGAACGCTGGACAGCCAGAAATTGTGTGAGGGGTTAAAGTTAACAGAAAGGAAAAACAAAAAATTTAAAAGAAATCTTAAGCATTTTTAAACAAGGAAAATGAAACAGAAAAGTGATCAACCACAGATCAAGACATACCAATTAACATTCCAGGAAAAATTATCACAGCATAAAACAAATAAAGAAGAAGAAAACAATAGTCCTTACACATGAGGTATTTTAGCCAAATCAATGTATCTTGGTTGAGAAAAAAAAGATTTTTAACTTAGATATGATCCAATATTTTTCCAATAAATAGTATTTACATCATGTGTAGGAGTAATTCAAAAGCTATAATATAAAAACTTCATGCATGAACACAACCCACAAGTATAGCAAAAGAAAAGGAACATCCATTTTTCAGGTTTCCCCAGAGCTTCAGATTATGTGTGTTAAGACAAGTAGATACAAGGAGATCTAAGAAATATTCCAACTATAGTGTCCAGATTAGTTTATATTAAGAGAATTAACAACATTAGAGCATTTCTACCTGTATTTTGGTGCTGAAAAGCAGACTGACTTGCTGTGGGGAAACCACCAAAATTACTCGAAGCATTAGACTGTCCAAATGCATCAAAGTTTGCAAAACCTGCGTTTGCAGAGTTCTGCGCTGTAAAGTTCAAATGAACAAAAATATGTTAATGATATGAAAACAAAAGATAAACTGAACAGAACACGATAACTATACTTTAGGATAACTATACTATTTGAAAGTACAATGTACAAGACAAACATTTTCTTATCTATATTTTGCAAACCTATCCTACATGGAAATGGCTGTTCTTTTAATTCTATTTATATATAAAATATTTTAGATCTAATATGTCAACAGAAATGAAAATACCATTTTGTGACCCCATTATTATACTATACCCTGGTTATTACTAATTTTCTTTCTGAAACCCCACAAACTAATTTTAAAAAAAACAAATTTTACATATTGCTACGCCATAATAGTATTATTTTTTAGCTTACCAAAATGGAATTAGGCGTGCTTTGCAAACCATAAATCTATTATATAAGATGAATTCACATATTGTTCTAATCCAAAATAAAATAACATTTATTATAGTTCAATATTCAGGATAGAGGTGCATCCTGGCCAGATGCCATTCCTGACGCCTACCCAGAATATAGTAACAGCAATAGCAATAACATTAGCACTTAGACTTATATACTCCTCCATAATGCTTTACAGCCCTCTCTAAGCGGTTTACAGAGTCAGCCTATTGTCCCCAACAATCTGGGACCTCATTTTACCGACTTCGGAAGGATGGAAGGCTGAGTCAATCTTTAGCCCTGTCAGGATTGAACTCCAGGCTGTGGGCAGAGTTAGCCTGCAATACTGCATTCTAACCACTGCGCCACCAGGACTACTATATATATGTAGTATAGGGATTACACGGTCATAAAAAAAGAGCTTATAGTTCAGGATTATGTGTGAGATCCAGGCCACATATTTTAGCTGAGGCAATTTGATTTGAAGTATATTATGATTTATATTATGATATCTTTGTTATGATTTGAAGTATATTATGATAGAAATGTGAGAACAAATGGTTTTACAGATATTGCCGAACTGCCACTTCTAAAATCTCTTTCTATTGGTCATGCTAGCCTGTGCTCTTAGGAGTTGTAGTCTAGCAAAGGAGGACATGGTTTCCCTGTTAAGCTCTATCTTGTCTTATCGCTGTCAGGGAGGTAATAGAAAACTATCTCTTCGTGTTTTTATGACTTTTATTTTAAATTTTCTCTAAAAGGTAATTTTATAATTTCAAAACTTTTTGGCAAAATCCAAAACAGTGTGCAAGTTTTGCAATTCCCCATGTATATGACCAAAAGCATTAAAAATGAGAAATTCTATAATATTTCTCCAAGATGCATGAAACTGTTAAACCACTAGAATTTACATATTCTTGAGCTTACCAAACATAATTCTATTGATTTCTGAGAATTTATTATTTTAATAACCAACATAAAACATTAAACATTATGACAATAAAGCAAACTATGTATATAATTGCAAAAAGAAAGCAATGTTTTTAAGATGTAAATCATTTTCAAATTTGGGAAAAAAATAAAAATTACTTATGACTACAATAAATTTACCTTTAATATATCACATAATGAAATAAAGTGAAAACCAAAATGCTTTCTTAATAAAGATATATTACAATCATTTGCATAAGTAAATGCTTCTATAAGCTTGAGAGTTTACTGGATTGTTCAATCTAGATGAAAAACAGCCTCTCATATTACTGAACAGTTACTGTCAGCTAATTACTATATAGCATCTAAGAGAATAAGTATGTAATGTAGTGTATTGTATTAACATATTGCTTTAATTGTAAAAATGAGATTGTTAATGTAACATTTAAATGTTAAAATATAAGAAGATTAATAGCTTTAAAAATTAAAACATAAAACACATTAATAAATATCTACATCAAAAACAGTGCTAAAAAAACATCATATTAACCTATCAACCACATGTCTGAATAAAAACAGTTGCCAATGGAAAGATTAATGAGAGGAAACCAAGTTTTGGTACTCTTTGCAGGGGCTTTCAAATTCTAGAAGCAGCCTCTGAAAAGTCTTTTTTACATTTCCATGAAACTACTTTTGATAGTTACAGGGTATCAGAGTAGTAGGAATAAGGCAGTCCTCGCTTAACAACCCTAACTGGGATCTGCAACTCAGCCACTAAGCAAAGCAGTAGCTAAGTGGGAAATCACATATCTGCAACTGGGCTTTCCAGCTGGAAAGAGACAAGACTACTCAGTTTCACACCTTCAGTTTTTGTTTGCCTCCTAAAGACTACCCTGGAATGCTCCAGTGCCTGTTTACTCACATCAAAAATAATTTGATTGCACTAGTGTTCTAACCTTTTCCTGACCCTTTCTGCTGCTAGCATGATCACATTATTTTCAATGTGTAGAAGAGCAAACTGCTTACAGTACTCTCCAATCTCTGCAATCGGGGAAGGGTCAGATAAAAGAGAGATTCCTACAGAAATCACTATTTCTCTCTCTCTCTCACCCCCTACAAAGAGAGATTGAAGAGGAAAGGATTACAAGAGTACTGCAAGCTGTTTACAGAGCATGCCTGGGGTTCTCAGCATGATTGCACTGTTTTTGATGTGTAGAAAACCAAACTACTTCCTCTCCAATCCCTCTGCTCTGAAGGAGGGAAGGGTGCAGAAAAAAAAAGAAATTGGACTGAAATTGATTCATCCTTCAACCAATTACAAGGATTCTATGAAACATCTTGTAAATGTCACCAACATCAAAATTAATGCCCTTCCTTAAAAATAAGGCATTCTTTACTCTACTCTTCATAGCTATATGAATTGCGACTACTGTAGCTACAAATTTATTTAATCCCATTCAATTACAGGGAGTCCTCATTTAGCAACTGCCTAATTTGGTGACCCTTTGCAGTTACAACAGTAATGAAAAAGTACCTACGATCAACCTTGCATTTATAGGAAAGCTGAGCTAAAACCATAGAACAGTCACAGTTTGACTTAGAGACCACTTGATTTAATGACCAAGCTGCTGGTGCCAACTATGATCACTAAGTAAGTCCTACCTGTACTGTTAACTACTCATCACCAACGTAAAGACCTGCCTTCCAGAAGTCTTGTAAGAGTTAGGAATATTATGATTATTACATTTTTATCCTTTTTAAATATATAACTCAAGGCTGACCTTCATATGCACTGGAATATAATTACCAGAATTTCTATACAGCAACAGATTTAGAAAAACTATTTTACATAATAGTACAGAAAAGTTAAACGTTTAAGCAAAATGAAACTAATAAACAGCATGCACAGAATATTCATTTATGTGTTAATTTAGTTATTTATCTAATTTATACAACTGTCCATCTCATAGAACAAATGATTCTGGGCAGCTTACAACAAGTTAAAACAATCAATAATTACCTAATAATTATAATTAACTATTATTAGTTAACTACTGACTTCAACAAAAATGACTTAGATCAGTTTGCAAACTAGATAATGACTATGGGAGACATCTTCTTCCTCCAATTTCTTTTTAAAGGTATAATGACATCGACAAGTCATTATATAATCAGGTAACAGATTCCCTGTGAATGGGAAATGGAAGAGAGGATTTACAAGGGTCTAGTACCACCAACAGAAAATTGTCCGTATCTTCAAGGTTAACTTGCACATTAAAGTGTTTAAGAAAAGAATGGCAGGGTGCTTAAGAGCCCACATTATTTTATTTATCTCCATAGCTGAATAGCTCTAAGTTAAAAAAAGAGGGGGGGAAATTCTTCTCCTGCCATTCAAGCACTTCTGAGATTCAGACATCAGAACTGTGCTGAAAATGCTTTTTAAAAAGCATGTTAGTCTTCCCACCCATTCCAACACATACAGAAACATACAAGGAAGGCTTTATTCCTGTCCTACAGATGATTTAAAGAATTTCAGTCAGTATCAAAAAGAAAAAGAAAAATAAGCATTTGACATGCTGAATATTAGATTTTTTGACAGCTCTGGCATCCGATATTTTATAGAACATGAGCTCTTCTTCAGTTATTTTAAAAGAAATATATGCCTATACATGAGTCATATAAAGCAATAGAGTACAAATCATGAGAGTTCTCCCATTATTGTTTATTGCTTTTTTCCCCATTGCATTCGTGGTTAATATTGTTAATATCCTCAAATATATTAAATGTGTGACTACTATTACCACTATTAGGGTTCTATCCACCTGCTTTCCTTTGATTATGAGTAAGCTAGATCAATAAAGGACAATCACCAAACTGATTTAAACAGGAGTCCCAATCTTCCTTTTACCAATAATCAAAGGACAGAATAACCCTTGGAATTTGTCTTGGCTAGCTACTAGTTCTTGAAGATAGAAAGATCTTTACCAAAAGCATGTCAAAGACATAGGAGAACTTGTTTCTTGGAACTTGTATGACCTTGTAAGTTAGTAATTCTTAAGACTATCAAACAAGCACTTCTGTATTGCTCATTTTATAGAGACTGAAAATTTCGTACCTCAATATAGACACAGCTTCTTGGCCATATTAATTCTGTATTTGTAATTATTTCTGATTGTAATTTTGCCCAACATAAAATTGGCAGGAAACTGACTGCTGGTAAGAGTTAAGTAAAACTAATACATTACTTCCTTATTAAACTGCATGATTGTATTTCTATATACTAGGTTTAATCTTCTAATAACCTTGTTTAGCAGTCTTAATTTTTAGCTTATTAGCATAGAATGGTTCATTATTTTCATTTTTATTTCTATAGATAACACTGAATATTTTATCGTATTATATTACTTTCATAATAGCATATAGCTATTGTTTTATAGATTAATTGTAATACATTACCATATGTAGTTTTAATAATTTTAATCATAAATTATTCACAATTTGTCCATTTTGTTCCTATGATAATTATGTACTGTACATTTTATCTTTTAGCTATTTTGCTTAAATTTTGTATACTTAGATTATTATATTTAGGAGGATTCATAATCTCATAATTTTAAATGTTATTTTATTTGGCCTTGACTGAAACAAATTTGACTATCTCTTCTTCTTTCTCAAATCATTGCCAATATTACAGAAGCCAACAAGTTTAGTTTTCATGGCTTTGTTTCCTATTTTATTTTTAGGTTTCTCTCTCTCTCTCTCTCTCTCTCTCACACACACACACACACACACAATGTGTGAGCTCAATCTCAGTATTTATCATTATCAAACCCAAGATAGTAAATAAAATTACCTGTATGACTGTTGAAGTGTGCAAAATTAGCAAAATTTGCAGTAGCTCTGGTGTGCGGAGCAGGAGCAGCAAATATATCTGAACCAAGATCACTGAGAAGATCAAACTGTTTCTTTTCTTGTGACTGCCCTTGAGACCGAATTGTAATAGGAGACTATAAACAAATTGCAGTGGGTTAAACAAGCACGAGTGGAATAACTAGAGCAAACCAGAGTATCATTCCTAATATAGAAAATATCAGTTTTATAAATCAACTTACTTTTCATCCAGATAAAACAATTTAATTTCTATACTGTAATATGCTATAGATCTGGCACTCCATCAGTAGACTAATACAAAATTGCATGAAAAATTCAAACACATGTGTGAGACACACAATATAATTCAGACTCTAGTGAAGCTAATTGAGGAAACGGAAATGTGTGAAAAAACTGAGATCAAAGACTAGGAAGTTGAGAAAATATGTGACAACCTCCAGCTCGAATATCCAAATAAAGTCCAAAATTTCTTTCATTTCTGAAAACCTACTGGTTTATTGAATACATGACATGGTATAGATGAAGGAAAACTAACTCTAAAATCCCAAGACATCTAACCAAAGCATATAACAATGACATTCCCAGCCAAACCTCCCAGATGTCCATGCAGTTCACATAAACACATTCTCATTGTTTTGAGAACCATCTGCTATCTTCTTCACAGCAGTCAGAAAGTCCTTGAAAAGTTTCCGTACATCTTTTTCTCAACAAACATCTGCAGAACCGGAGATGTTTCATTTCTCTAACTAACCCATTCAAAGCCTCGTCTCCTCTCCCTTACTCTAATGACAAGATGAAAACAATAAGGCAGGTTGCTGCCAGGTTTTCAGTCTTGAAAATATGTCAGTACTATAGAAGCTTAGATATTGGGAAAATGCAAGGTAGATCTCCTAAAAGAACAAGGAACAACTTTTATGTAAAAACTCAACAAAATATAGGTGGACAAAAAGAAACCCCCCTGAAGGAACAGATTATTGAAGGATGAAGAAGTAGAGAGAATATGAGTGACATTGCCACTATGGAAAAAACATACTTTGTTCTGTTAACATTTTCAATAGAAAGATAAAGTAGAATTGGATAGAATTGTTGAGGAGATAGATTTCCTGAAAGCCATCAGGCAAAATTAAGTGATACAGAACAGCTACCTAGTATAAACTGAAAATATGAGTCTGAAGAAAGATTTTAAACAATAGAGTTATTAATAATGGACAATGCACCAAGTAACATATTTTACTGAATACATATTAATTTCACACACTTTTTAAAAATACATAACTTACTTGGGTAGGTGTATCTTTATTTAAGTGCAGTGCTGGTGCAGACTCTCCCAAGAGAGATTTAAGTGGTTTAACTTCCGGAGTACTACTTGTACTACTAGCAGAAGATCCAGATATAGATGCATGGACAGAAGCCACAACTTTTGCTTGTTCTGGAGGAACATACCTAAAATGCCAAATTAAAACATTTGTATTTATCATAACTTTCCCAAATCCATCATTAATAAAGGATGATGCAACAATCATATTCTAGGCTTTAGAGAGCTGGAATTAACAATATGGCTTAAGCAATAATGTAAGAGTAAGAACAAAGATTTAAAAGATTAACTGGCATATAATTTAAATGCACTGAATATTAAGATGTAACTGGTCTAAACAAATCACAAATGTACAAAGTAAATAGTGAACGTAAATAGAGGTAATATAATCTAAGTGGTTGAAGTTCAACTTCTACAACTGGAACCATGTGTATTTATGTGTAATACCTAATAAGCTATACTATTACAAGCTGAGCAAAATACATTATTGTACAAAGCTGAAAAATAGGTATTAGCAACAAGTATCAGCTTAAAAAATACTGGAAAAGAAAAATTTCAGCCTGTTAAAAATAGCCCTAAGAATTGCTTCAGCCAAGAGTACTACTATTTTACTATACCAATAACTGTTTAAAGAAAAAAACAAACATATATTGTGAATATTTGTAATTACACACACTCTTTAAATGTTAAGTCAAAAATATTTTACCTAATTTTATTTTATGTGTTAATCTCCTTAAAGCAGAAGCAATCAAATAAGACATGATGGGGTGTGTGTGTGTTAATTTATAAAAAGGAAACAAAGTCTTTCTGGCCTAAGTCTGAGAAAACTCCACCATAATAATGAGTGGGGGTTGTTAAGAGGTATTCCAGGGAAACAGCACCAGAAAATTAATTCAACTGAATATTGTCATGTTCTGGAGAATGAACAATAATTAGGTCAAGAAAGAGTCAAACATTGGATTTGACCAATTAGTTTAATATTTAGTACTTTTGCTCACAATGCCTTTTAACCTTAGGGGGGAAAAAGGCAAGCTAATTGGTGATTACTAGTAGAAAGTAATAATAGCAGTACTTACAGTAGTAAAAATTAGTAGGGGTACTATAATATGCATGACAAAGGGGATTCAATGATTTTTAATTTGACTTTGGTAAGACATTTTCCAGTAATACCTCAACAAGGTAAATATTGATATAAATAAAACAAGTATATGTTTAGGCATTCCACTGGAAATAGAATAGGAAATGTTCTATATATTATAATACAAATTCTTTTTATTATAAAAAGTTTTATAATATAATTATAGTAAAATGTGTACCAACCATCTTTTCTTTTCATATTTTTCTTGTAGAAATTCTTTGACTTTTTGAGGATCCCGGAAGTCTGGAATTGCTGATGATCTATCATCAAATAATCCTAGCCAAATCTGTTTGCATACCTTTTCAAAGAGAAACAATATTAAATTAAATGTACTTCTATCTGATCACTTAATGCAGGGGTCCCCAACCTGTGGGCCGTGGCCCAGTACCAAGCTGTGGCCTATGGCCACCTGTCCACAGGAATGGCTGGTGAGTGTGCGCATCCCCCACTCGCACCGCCGCTAGCAGCCGTTTGCGCATGCGCGTAGGCGCTAGTGCCAGCACTATTGCAGGTGCGCATGGCCCATTTGTGTATGCACACAGGCACTAGCACCATGCCATGCACATGCTCATTTGTGCATGTGCGCGCAGGGGCGTGCATGCACCTTTCCCTGCTCCTCCCTTTCCCTCCAGGTCACCAAATAATCACATCTGCTAAAAAATAACTCTGATCAAATTTTAAAATAATAGTTGATTTAAAGTTCCAGATTTATTAGTCATGTCTTACCATTATTTTTAGCTAATATAACTACGGTATGTAACTTAAGCTATGTGTTATGACTAAGCTTCTTGGAATTCATGCACTTGGAATATCTTGCTAATGTCTAGAAAAAGGCTTTAAATTCATAGTCTTACACATTTTGATAATTTTAAGAACATTAAGCAATTTCTTGTCTTCTATATCCCATAAAACATAGCCGTAGCATGCTTCAGCAGCACTACTGTGATGCAATATTAACAGGAATAAACATCTGAGGAAATACCACCCATATTTCTAGGAAGTTCCACCCATGCTGAAATATTCACTCCAACAGCATGCTGAATAATAAAGAGGGCAGAGAAAAAGCTGAAATGCGTCAACGAAACTTAGACAAATGATTCACACTACTAGGGTCAAATTAGAGTACAATTTCAGCTCACAAGTACCAGTGTACTTACAGTAAATTACAACCCAAGAAAATTTCATGTTCTCATTTCAGAACTTGTCTTATCTTTTTGACTAATATAATACACTTATTAAAATTGTATTCTCCATCAATTTACTTATGTATTCTATACTGAATACTTACTTCATTCCCATGCTTCTGAAGAAATTCTATTTCTTGCTGTGTGAATGTGGTCATTGAAATGGACTTCACTCTGTGAGGTGGATTTAAACCTCTCCTATAAAATATTTTTTTAAAAAGTGATTGTAGAAATTTTTCAAAAGTTAAAAGAATTCTTAACTATAGTTTAATGTTACTAGTGATAAAATAGTATTATAGTTAATAAATCATAAGAGGTATAACAAATATAAAAGTTTCTTAATTTTGAAATAAGTTTTGATTCAAGTATTGTAGAAAAATTGGGCCTAATAACATATTTCTAAATGACTTTACAGTTCTCAGAACTTGGCTATAGCTATCAATTTAAAATGTTAGTTCAGAAACCACTAATTAGCTCTTTGATTTTTTAAAAATATAAGCATTATACAGGTTTTTAGAATTCCTATGGAATTCTTTTAGTCTGCTTTCTTAAAAAGATTTTATTTGAATTTTTCTTCTAGCAAAGTGTTCATCTGTTTAAATTTTGACTAATGGTATGGGATCAGAGACATAAAAATGCTAGAGAACTCAAAATTCAATTATTTTGATTATGGAGAAACCAAACATTAAATTTTGCTAGAAATACTATGAATTTTACTATCTTGCAATATATATTACAAATTCTAGAAATGTCAAAAACTAATAAATGTATTTCATTTGATTGTGAGTGACATAACCTTTACTAAGACACTATGAACTTGTGTTTGAAAATGATTTGGTATATACAGCACACAGACAACTATTAAAAAGTATTCTAGAAATATAAAGGTTCTAGAAACAAATGTTGTAATTCTCTACATGTAGATACTACATGTACATAGCATTACAATATTCTGCTTAAAATAGCTTGAGGATTCCAATCAGGAAACTCATGCCTTCCCCCAAATATTGTGATTTCAAAAGAGAAATTTGAGAATGGGTCAGCTTTATGTGGTGCCTTCATTCTCTCCTGACATCTCTCAAATCTAAAACACCCACTACTACCACTATTAATGATGGTGGCTGAAGATATTGGGAATTTTAGTCATTAGTTTTAATAGAATCAGACAAGGGAAGATGAATCTCAATTATGAAACTCATAAACAAATATCACAGTAGGACAGCATATGCAATCTGAGGATCTACCACTAAGAAGTATGGTTGATTTTTTTTTAAAAAAAGTTAAGATTCAAAATGCCTGAAACTCCACCATTATATAAAATTAATATATTGTACTGGGAGGTATTTATGCCTTCATGGCAGCAGTAGTTTATCTATGTTTGTTTGAATTGGTAAAGGATTGCTTGTAAAATTCAATTCAGAATTAATTAGTGGGATTCTTAACAGCTTAACTATTGCTAATTAAAAAGATTACATTCAATTGTTATACTAAATATTTCTAAAGTTTAGCTTTGCTTTAACAGATAATCCTCTATTATTCCATCATTATTTCATAATACCAACTTCACAAAATTGATTACTTTTTCAATGTAAAATAAAGCATATTGTTCACTTTGAAAAATTCAGAAATTTGAAATCACAGTTCTTCCATTTTCCCCATATATAAACAATTTTATATAAACAAGATTCTGATCAATTTACACTAGTACAGATAATAAATCTTCATCTAAACCTAGAACATAGGTATTCTGTGTATTGGTGTAACTTTAGTAAATAATGTCATAGATGATCAAACTAAATCTGTCTATTGTAACATGACATATTGAAAAAAATTGTAAAAGTACTGAAGATTACATATACTGGACAGCTATCTAATTTCACAGACTATGAAAACTAGTTCGTATTCCTTCAAAATTATGTGCACGGTTTGGCAATTATGTAAATCGTGTGATAAAAATTTAGAGATTAACAAAAGATTTAAACTGTTTCCTCCTATAAGCCCTTAAAGTAACCTTTAATATGCTTAATTAATATTGCCTATTGTTTTTACTTCCTCAAAATATGTTGTGTTAGATCATGGGTGTCAAACTCGCTGCGTCATGTGACGTGTTGCGCTATATCGCAACTTTTTTCGCATTGCCGGACCTGGGGTGGGCGCAGTCTCCACATGATGCAACCGGCCCACGGGTTGGCAGTTTGACACCCCTTAGATATTTAAAAAGGCATGAATAAGTTATTACATTCTGAAAATGCATTCAACAAGTTTCTCTGCTTCCATTTTATATATCTGTAGAATATAACTGATTCTTCCCCATCAGAAAATTAGCACGTTAAGTTTACATACTTGCTTCCATAAATACCATTTTGCATTGCTACAATCCATATTTTATTACACACACTGGGAACTCTCATTTTAAGCAGCTTTGTGTCCATTTGGGGAACATGTCCATATTAGGTTATTTCCCAATCTCTAACCCTGTACTTTTCTCTGGTCATTTCACTTTATCAGCTTTTTGCTTTCTGGTGGTCTCTCCAGTTGGCCCAGTCTTTCAAACTGGCCTGCAATATCAGGCAAATTCCTACTGGTGACCAAAGTAACTGTCCAAACTCCTCAATCTCATCCATTTCTTTCTGCAGATACTGTATTGCAGTGGTTCTCAACCTGTGGGTCGGGACTCCATTTGGGGTCGATCGACCATTTCATAGGGGTCGCCAAGCAAGGCTGTCCGCCATTTTTTTTGTCCGCCATTTTTTTTCCCTTTTCCGGCGGGTGCCTTACCTCCCTTGGGCTGGGCCAGCTGGTGGTCGGCTGCTCCGTCTCTGCCACTTGCCAGCTACGCCTCGGCCGGCGCAGGGGGCAGAACCACGCATGCGCGGCGCTCCCGGGCAGGGAAAGTCCTCGACATACGACCGGTTGGGTAGTCCTCGACATACGACCGGTTTAGTCCTCGACTTACGACCGGTTGGGGTCGCGGCATTAAAAAGGTTGAGAACCACTGCTGTATTGCCTTACTTCTCTCCCTCCCCCTTAGTATTTCGGGGAGAGGGGGAAAATCCCCACTTCCACTTTTGTTTCGCTCTTCACGCAGGCCGAAGTCCTCTATCCCAGTGTTTCTCAACCTGGGCAACTTTAAGATGGATGGACTTCAACTCCCAGAATTCCCCAGCCAGCTTTGCTGGCTGGGGAATTCTGGGAGTTGAAGTCCATCCATCTTAAAGTTGCCCAGGTTGAGAAACACTGCGTCTATCCCAACAGAGGGGTTCCTCACAAAACCCCTTCCCCAGCCTAACCGGGCTTTCTCCCTCCTCTCTTGGCGCTCGCTGCCTCCTTAGAACGCTCGACCGTTTCCTCCCGCCAAAGCGGTCGGCCCTTTCTTCTCCTCAACTCACAGGATGCCGGAGCAGGAAGTACAAACGAAGCTGCCCACCGTCATGTCGGTATAGGTGGGGCCGCGCTGGTCGCAGTCGAAGCACTTGCGGTTGGGCGGGAGGCTGCTCATCTCCCTCAGCAGCTTCAGGTGCTTCTCCTCCTGCTTCCGCTTGGCGCTCGCCGCCATGGTCTCCGCCGGGGGCGGGGTGGGGAGCCGAGCCGATCCCCGGTCCGCTCGAGAACGAAGAGGAAGGCGGCGCGGGAGAGGCAGGCACCGTCCCGTTCGAGCGGCGGCGGCGGCGAGAGCGGCGGGTCAACCAACAGAAGAGCGAGAGTCGCTCCCACCCGCACAGCCCAACGGGAGAACAGAAGAGGAGAGGAGGAGAGGAGCAGCAGCGGCAGCGGCGAACTCGAGCCGGGCCCGGGGCGGCTGAATGACGAGCCCAGGCGGAACCTGCCCGAGACTTCTTCCCAGAAACGAGGAGAGGAGCGCCGCGGACGCTCTGACCAAGGCGAAGAGCGCCCCCTTCCGCCCGGGAGGATTTTTCCGTGTCTCTTTTCCTCTCGGGAGCCGCTTACCTGGCATGACCCTGCGAGTCAGGGGAGGAGGGGGCGAGACGCAAGCTGAAGTTGGGGACTTATGACGTAAGGAAAGGGGTTTTTTTAAAAGAAAAGGTGCCGGCGAAAGGGAAAGAATCGGTGAAGCAAGGCGGGCCGATGACCTGAACGGTCCAAAGGCCGTGACGAGCACCATGTGTTCCAAGAACATACGAAGAACTTCCTGGATTTGAATTAACCCTCAATCGCATGATCTCAATGAATGCCAGTTTTGGTCACCACGATGTAAAAAAAGATGCTGAGACTCTAGAAAGAGTACAGAGAAGAGCAACAAAGATGATCAGGGGACTGGAGGCCAAAGCATATAAGGAAAGGCTGCTGGAATTGAGTATGTCTAGTTCAGGGGTAGGCAACCTTGGCTCTTTTATGACTCGTGGACTTCAAGTCCCAGAATTCCTGAGCCAGCTTGGCTGGCTCAGGAATTCTGGGAGTTGAAGTCCACGAGTCATAAAAGAGCCAAGGTTGCCTATCCCTGGTCTAGTTTAACGAAGAGAAGGACCAGGGGGGACATGATAGCAGTGTTCCAATATCTCAGGGGCTGCCACAAAGAAGAGGTAGTCAAGCTATTCTCCAAAGCGCCTGAAGGCAGGACAAGAAGCAATGGGTGGAAACTGACCAAGGAGAGAAGCAACCTAGAACTAAGGAGAAACTTCCTGACAGTTAGAACAATTAACCAGTGGAACAACCTGCCTCCAGAAGCGGTGAATGCGCCAACACTGGAAGTTTTTAAGAAGAAACTGGACAGCCATTTGTCCGAAATGGTATAGGGTTTCCTGCCTGAGCAGGAGGTTGGACTAGATGACCTCCGAGGTCNGCTGAGACTCTAGAAAGAGTACAGAGAAGAGCAACGAAGATGATCAGGGGACTGGAGGCCAAAGCATATAAGGAAAGGCTGCTGGAATTGGGTATGTCTAGTTCAGGGGTAGGCAACCTTGGCTCTTTTATGACTCGGGGACTTCAAGTCCCAGAATTCCTGAGCCAGCTTGGCTGGCTCAGGAATTCTGGGAGTTGAAGTCCACGAGTCATAAAAGAGCCAAGGTTGCCTACCCCTGGTCTAGTTTAACGAAGAGAAGGACGATGGGGGAAATGATAGCAGTGTTCCAGTATCTCAGGGGCTGCCACAAAGAAGAGGGTGTCAAGCTATTTTCCAAGGCGCCTGAAGGCAGGACAAGAAGCAACGGGTGGAAACTAACCAAAGAGAGAAGCAACCTAGAACTAAGGAGAAACTTCCTGACAGTTAGAACAATTAACCAGTGGAACCACCTGCCTCCAGAAGCGGTGAATGCGCCAACACTGGAAGTTTTTAAGAAGAAACTGGACAGCCATTTGTCCGAAATGGTATAGGGTTTCCTGCCTGAGCAGGAGGTTGGACTAGATGACCTCCGAGGTCCCTTCCAACTTTATCATTATTATTATTATTAGTCCTTGTGGCTTCTCCCAGCAAATAATTTTCAGGAGCCTGAGGCTCTTGTACGTGGAGGCAGCTACGTCACTTTGATTTGTCATAGTTGATGAGCTCCGACGGTGAGATTTCTAAAACTTGACCTGTTGCCGGATGAGCCTCTGAATCCCTTCTGCTCCACACGACTTCCCACTAATCCGTTATCGAATATTGGAACATGCTTCTTTCGAAGTACAGAAAGCAAGTATTGCTCTACAAACCAAGAAGACTTGCAGAACACCCCCTGCTTAAAAACTCTAGGGGGAAAAAAGTGGCCTTTCCAATTTTGCTTGTGTCCTCCCAAAATATTTTACCTTTATCCCTATTTTTATGATTTACTATACTACATGAATCTAATGTGTAATTTATCCAGTAAACAATGCTTCAGCAATTTATTAATCAAATTTGGACACTATCCATCTGATTTTGAGTGATTTATAATTATAAAAAAACCATGGAAATGCCATAAAGTGACTTTGCACAATCTGTCACGCACCTAGCACTATTGCTTGGTTTTATATTAATGTCTCGGGCCAGCAATTTGCAGAAGCAATGAGATTGCAGGCCAATAGATATAATTATTTTTATGACCATTATTGCTTGGTTGGATTGTGGCTCATAGACACAAACAACTTTATTTTGGCTGTACTGCCACTTCCCCTTTTTCCCATTTTTTGTTAATCTAAGATGACAAGCCTTGGTTTTAACTTATGGTTAAAGTTAAAGTTGTATTTTATAGTATATATTCTCAAGTAAACATCTGGATCTGGAGGACGAATTGTATATATGTTGCTGATTAAATAGCAATGGAAACATCCTTTGAATTCCTTCCTAGTTAAATCATTTTATTGGATATTATTCAACTACCTAACTGGTTTCATTTTTGTTTTACTATGTACTAAAATCCTTTAAACATACAAGTAATCTTTCACAGGCAAAGGTGTGTTTTATCACTGTGATTCTTTCCAAACATGTAATGATTGTAAATTGTCCATCAGCCTCATTCTCAATGTGCTGAGGCTTTAAGTTTCAGAACTATAAGCAGTGTGTACAGCAAGGAATATTGTATGTTTTATCATACAAAGTATATATCCAAAATATCAAATAATTACTTTCTAAATTGCTTGAAATATAATATTATCTCTGTAAATATATTCATAGTCTGTGTGAATTTCTATTAAATCTCATTTTCAATATGTGAATATGTGTATGTAGCATGTCTCAGAACTTAGAAAGTCATATTTCCTTCCAGCAGAGTTCCCATATCTTGACAAAGAGCAGGTGTAGTAAAATCATTAGGTTGGTAACAGCACAGCATCTATCTTTTTCTCCCTCAGTGCCATCTAATTGGTACGAGATTATTCTATAGCTAATAGATGTTGATGTCAGCATTCAGGTCCAGTTTAAGGAGGCAATTCAAGAGGTTTGAAGACTCCATATGCATTCCATTGTAATAAAAGCTGAAATAGAAATATATTCAAACATAGGTGAATGTTTTTAAAGCCGTGTCAGTGGTCTTCTTTGGTTCTAAATATGTGTGGGGGATTCTTTGAATGCATAATTGGAAGATGTGATATTGTACAATCACTATTTGTTCTAGTGAGATTACACATGAGAAATTCATAGTAGATGCTCATACTCCTTGCAAATGTATTTAACAGGTTAGAAACTTTGATGGAAATTAGATAAGTATTGCAAATTACTGAGACACAAATACATGAAGTTGAACCTGGGTAAAGAAACATACCTAGCCACAAATGCACTTTGGTGATTATAAAGATGGTACAAATTTAATTTTAGCTCTACATCAAGAGGTGAAATATACAATCCCTTTCTTTGGGTTGACAGTGCAAATATTCACAGTACATGGAATGAATACAATGAATGCGGCTATCTTATGAATCGTTTGATAGATCACTTTTATTCAAAGCATTCTAATTTAGATAAATCTAATGGAAGAGAAGGAAAAAAAGTTCTTCCTGAAATACACTATTGTTGCAAATGACCTGATTTTTTTTTTGCCTAACTACTGCTAATAGCTTTTTCAGCTTTCTTCTCGCATTTCAAAGAAGGGTAATGCCAGGGTTGTCTGTTCTCGGTGAATCCATAAAGTTTCCGCAAGGCCACACGAGCAGCCTCTTCTTCAGCAGCTAATACTGTTTCACCAGTACCTTCAGCTAGAAGCTTCTTATCACTGAAAAGAGAAGAAATGCTTTTATTATCTACGATTATGCAACTGATCAATCAGATTAGGCAACATGCAGTCTGTTTATCTAATAACTAAGAACAAGGCTTGGTATAGGGCAGGGGTAGGCAACCTCGGCTCTTTTATGACTCATGGACTTCAACTCCCAGAATTCCTGAGTCAGCTATGCTGGGAGTTGGAAGTCCATGAGTCATAAAAGAGCCGAGGTTGCCTACCCCTGGTATAGGGTACATAGCCTCTTTGTAAATCAAACACTGAAAAACTGGTAGCTCAAATAGCTCCTTGAGTATAAAATTATCTCACCAAGCATGACATAATACCGTGAAAAACAATTTTAGTCTATTATTTGATCTTTGTATAAACTGATTTTGAAACTATTGTTCTGCATTTCCGCTTTAAGAAATCTATCTGCTACCTTTATTATTAGATTGTTCTGTAGTGATTGTATGCAATATATTGAAATGAAAATTAATAAAAGATGAAATATTAGATCCTAATTTTGCTCCTAGAAAACAATCAAAAATATTAAGAAAGATGGTCCGGATTTTACAAGGAAAGGACAAAAAACAGTAAATTAATTAATCTCTACTTTTCCTGATATCAATTGGTATCAATATACTTTGTACCACTACCAAAATTCTAAGCAATTAACTCCCTTGAATTAATGTGTGCTTGTAAATCACGTACAATCAAGAATTACAAAACACAAGAAAAGCAATTTGTAAAATTACTTCACCATTCAGGGGAAAAAAGATCAAGAATAATCCATGAATAGTAGTAATAGCAATATGAAAAAGACAAGACTGAGATAAAGAACAAGACAAAGACTTCTTTAAAGGCTCAAAACCCATAAAAGTAGCTCAAAATGAATTTTAGTGAGCTTAACAAGGACAAGTTATGACACTATTATTTCTGAACCCACACTGCAAAGTCATCCCTCCTGAAATAGACTGAAGAATGCCAGAAACATGTCTCTTCCTGTCAGAAAGCACTCTTATCTTGTAGAGATATAAGCTGGAAATGGGACCATGATTAGAACCTATTCTTTAGAGCAGTGGTGGTGAACCTATGGCACGGGTGCCAGAGGCGGCACTCAGAGCCCTCTCTGTGGGCACGCGTACCGTCGTCCCAATCCTAGGCCTTCAGCTGGATTTTATAAAACCTTTTCGCTTTAGGCCTCCGCCGTGTGCAAAAAAAAAAAGGTTCAATCAGTCAATTTCAATTTCTCACGGGAAAAAAAAATCTTGCAAAGTTGGAATTGATTGATTGAACTTTTTAGTCCCGCCCAGTCTGCCGTTACCACCACAGCCACGCCCAGCCAATGGGCCACGCCCAGCCAATGGGCCACACCCACCCGGCACCTGACGATGCATAAGTGGGTTTTGGGTTGCAGTTTGGGCACTCGGTCTCTAAAAGTTCGCCATCACTGCTTTAGAGAATAGAAACCAACAAAAATATATAATTCTTTACAAGCTATAATATGCACTGCAAATAACAGAATATGAAAGGCTAGTTTAGATTTTATTATCACTTATATTAAGTGGAAGTGTAATTCTAAACCCTGCAGGTTCAACATGCTAAGGCAATTTGAATTCAGCACGTATATCAGTGGCCAACCAGTTCTTCTCCTGCCATTATTCTATTACAATTGGTGCTTGGAGGCATTCTGCTCCCCAACAATGGATACTAACTAAACTGCTTTATGCCTGTTTTATTTTCTACATGAAATTCCATTCAAATATGGTGACTCTGACTGATGAGTCACATATAATTGATAAGACAGTGTCCACCTTCAGTACATAGTAACAAGTCTGAATCAGCCTGAAATCTTACTAACCAATATAACCCAACAAAGAACAAGGGCAAAGCAGTGGTAGCTCCTGACTGCCTGGTTAGCCTTGGTTCTGGAGCAGTTATATTCCTTTTGGCCAGTTCTTCCAGCAGCAATCCCATGGGGTTTACAATGTTCCACATCTCAAATAGTTCCTTTCCTATCAACTGAGGGATGAAGAAGTCCTGTAAACAAATATTAAAAAGACAATATTATTTTATTTATATGAAATCAAATAGAATACTGTACTTGAGTTATTTTAAAATAATAGCAATAATCATTGCTTGAGATACATAATACAGGTAGTCCTCGACTTATAACCATTCGTTTGGCATCTGTTCAAAGTTATAACAGCACTGAAAAGAGTGACTTACAACTGGTCCTTGCACTTACAACCATCACAGCATTCCCAATCAGGTGATTAACATTTGAGCATTTGGAAACTGGCATGTATTTATGATGGTTGCAGCATCCAAGGATCATGTGATGGCCATCTGCACCCTTCCCAGCCAACTTCTGATAGGCATAGTCAATGGAGGAAGCCTGGATTTTTTTAATGACTACATGAATAACTGCACTTAACAACTCACTTAACAACCATGGCAAAAAGTCATAAAATTAAGTCAACTCATTTAACAACCACCTTGCTTAGTAACAGAAATTCTGATCCCAATTGTTGTCATAATTTGAGAACTACCTATATACATTTCTTTGGAATCAAACAGAACTCTTATTCACTAGGGCAATGGTTCTCAACCTGTGGTCTGTAGGCGCCTGGTGGGCCACAGTGTTATCAAAGGGGGTCCACAAAGGCTTGAAGAAATGTTACGGTTTAAATCTTGAGTCTTGGGGGTCTATGGTTCGTGGCCTCAAAAGGGATTTAAAGGGAGTCCATAGTGAAAAAAAAGGTTGAGAACCACTGCACTAGGGCGTATTTTTTGTAATGCTTAGTTATTACTGCATTATAACACTTTAAATAGACTATGCCTCTCAAAGCATTGAGATATTTTTTTATTAACATATCAAGGGAAAAAGTAAGACACACTACAAAATAGCTTGGGAGCCAAGGAAAGCCATGCCATCATGTTTAATTTTCACAAAATAATCAGAATTAACTGAAATTAACCATCTAAGGAAGTCTATAGGCTATATCAAATATAAACTTTCTGAAATCATCTTCCATAAAGTTAACTTCTCTGAAGGATAGTTACATAAAATAGTATTTCTCACCTCAGCACTAACCACCACCAGATATTTGTGCTTACATTATTTATTCCATAGAGCAGTAAGGGCACTGTTGGTCTAAAATAAATGTTTCCACAGCCTCCATATAATCAACAAGCAAATAAAGCAATACTAGACTAAAATTCTGGCAGTATAGCTGGATATCTGCATGTAATTTTCCAGTATTTTTCTCAAGTCTTTAATATCATTTTGCATATTAGGAAGAAAGAATATTTTTCTTAATTCTCTTAATATGTGTTCTGCTAATCTAATTTGCAACTCTGTGTCAGAATACAGCACCCATGCAAATCTTTTGTTAAAAAAAAGTCTGCGTCACCAATTTCAAATGTCTATGAAGAAAACTGGTTGCCAAAATTTGGTAGTGTGATAGTATATGAAATGCTTTGTTTTCTTAAGGGTACAGCCTGTACCCTTTTGACAGCCTGTTTCTGCTTAAAGTAACCTTGTCTATTAACTCATTAAAACAATTTCATATCAATCTCATTAAATAAAATCACAAAGGCAATTGAAGATTAATCTATTAATCCCTGAACAATATATTTTCTTACACATTTTACTAGCTCTGTAATTTTGGATGGATACAAAGAACTTTTTTTTGCTAGCCTTAACATTACATTCTGTAATAATAACTTACTCTGATAAAGATCTCTGTTCTTTGAGAGCTATTATCTTGAAGCAAAGCTCCTATTACAGCAAAAAGAGTCTCCTGCAGCACCTTAGGTGGCACAGGAAATTCTGCACAAAGTGTCAAGTCTTGCAAAGATAGGTTTGTAGCAATGTAGGATACTATTTCTTCACTGGTGAGATAGTTAACAAGAGCTTCAATGCCAGCAGGTGGCATTTTTGGAAAGGCTTCTTCAAAGCACTGTGTGAGGTAAGAGTGCGAAAAGGAAGCTCCCTGTAAAGAAAGTTCCTGATTGTCCTTGAGATTAAGAAAAAGGTCTACTTTTTTTAGTCCAAGTTCTTGGCGTTTAGATTCTTCATTTTTTATATAGCAGGGATTAACAAACGCGGTTTTGAGTTGGTCCAGTGGGAATGTCTCGTGTATCCGATGGCCAAAAGCTTCTATTTCTGCATGGTAATCCCAGTTAGGCTTCTCAGACCTACATAAAACAAGAGCAGAAATAGAGAAACAAATATATATATAAAACAGCCTAGTCAAGACAGATTTCATGGTGAGACTAAGGCTATCAAGTATCTTATTCCTACTATTCTTAAAAACCAGTATTGGATTTCTAGATGTATATATTCAATTCGAAAATCTTTATTGTGGAAATCAAAGATGTTGTGGAAAAAATAATTTCAGAGCCCCAGGTTGATTATTATGAGCAAACACATTTCAAAAATAGAAACTTCTATATATTTAATTTGTTTAAGTCATGTATTGTACACAGAAGGATTATAAAAGAACTTGCAGGTATGAAACATGGAACTGAAAGTCTCTACAGTTTGTGTCACAATATTATGGTATTTTTGTTAATTAATATGTTTTACTTCAAACTTTCTTATCCCAATCCAGCCACAATGTACAAGCCCCTGTAATTAACAAAATTAACTTTTATAACATGAAAGCTACAGGGGAAAATATTGAAGGCAAAGTATATCTATTTAACTCTATCTGGCTAAAAGACACCCAGCAAGATTTCATGGTTGAGGGTAAACTTGAACTTGAATCTTCACAGTCCTTCTTCAATACTTACTACATCACACTGGGTTTCTGTCTGTAACTTGTTTGGTTGTTGTTGTTGTTTTGCACTTTCGCAAAACCAAAAATTTATTGTTCTGTGTTTCTCATTCATACAACTATAGACAATGAATGGGTTTACACAGTGAATTATTTCATGATTTCCTTAGCCTGTTTTGTTCAATAAGCCATAATTAGCTGGATTCATACATTGTACTTAGAAGTCTGATTTATATGCTACAATATCTGTGTTCAGTTAGCAGACTAAGTCAGAATCAAAACAAACCACACTACAATTTACCAGAGCTGAACTCAGAAGCTAAACAGTTATCAGTCCTGATTAGAAGATGAATGGAGATTTGATATACGTGGGATAATGTGATGGCCTCAAAGTAAAAAAGGGTTTGGGAGGGAGGGAGGAAATTAGCCTCAGTGTCATGCTTGATTATAATACCTGTTGTATGACTATGAATATAAAAGGCAAGAAATATTAACTAATGGAGGAGGAGATTGTTGGGTATTCTTGAAGTTGTTTCTGAAGTGTAGTGGTGGAAGAATCTGCAGTGACAGACCTAGCAAAACCTGAGAGAAAAAGATTTGCTGAGTGAACTGGCTGGTGGAAAAGATTGTTTATAGCAGGGGTAGTCAACCTTGGCTCTTTTATGACTCGTGGACTTCAACTCCCAGAATTCCTGAGCCAGCCATGCTGGCTCAGGAATTCTGGGAGTTGAAGTCCACGAGTCATAAAAGAGCCAAGGTTGACTACCCCTGGTTTATAGACAACAGACATAACAGATGTCAGTGAGAAGAGCTGACATAGGTGGTAGAATCCAAGAAACCCAGTCAAGACGCTGCCCAAAGCTTGCATTTTGCGAAGAAGCGCTCTCCCCTCGCGCTAAACCTGCATCATCCCGTGAGCCTCTACCACCCGAGACCCTCTTACCGGCGCCTGGGGGGCTCAAGCAAACGCTGCTGCTCCATATAAGCTTGGAGCCAGAGCTTTTTGTTTCGGCGCGGCTGAGAACCAAGCAAGGCGGCTCCCTTCGCCGCCGCGAACAATCGCTGAGAAGTCTGGAGAAGCAACGGGCGTAAGAGCATCGACGCCATCGTACCCGGGGCACCTTGATTTAGCGCCGGCTGGAAACTCGTGTCATTTCCTTTCTGGTCCGTCTGAGTTCCGGGCTCAGAGTTGACTTCTAGCGAATGAGGCTCGGCGCTGCTATAAACATGGCTGGTTCAAAAAGGTGCACCAAAACTAGATCGCAGTTCTGCGACGCAGTCGAATGCCAAATAAAGTGTAGGTCTGGAAATCCAGGTTTATAAGCTTTCCGCAATTATTAAAGAGCTGCGTGCCAGTATCTCTCTTACCGGACTATTGGCTGTACCAGGGATAGGCAACCTCGGCTCTTTTATGACTCATGTACTTGAAGTCCATGAGTCATAAAAGAGCCGAGGTTGCCTATCCCTGGGCTGTACTAACAGGGCTTGTAGCCAAAAGTACAAACGGCTACTTTATTTTCAACGTTGTTATTATGAGAATGTAAAAAGCGTGACAGTAGGGGAGCTACTGAGGGAATGATGATGATGCAGCTCATTTTTTTTTTTATTCAAGAGAAGAGATTTTCAGTAACTTTTTTAGAGTAATAAACGTCTAATCTCCAAAACTAAGCAGGATTAGACTGACAAATGTATTCAAGGGCTGTAGGCTAGACTGGAAAAAGGCAAAGAGCAACCTGTTACTGGTTCCCCCCCCCCCCAAAGAAACCTGCATGTTTACATTTAAGTATCCAGAATGAATCAAGGCTTTTACAAGCTTCAGCTTCCATTCTTCACCTACCCAAGTATCCAAGCTATAGTATACGATACAAGAGACATTCAGACTGAACTATAGCAAGCATGTGTTGAAGCAAAATTTAAACAAAAACATTATTGTTGTATAAAAGTCCCAAAACTGCTGCAAGATTAAAATTTAAACACTTTATAAAGCGCCATTTTTGCTCCCAAAACTCTTGGCAAGCCTAAGGTTTTAAGGCTGTGTCCTGAAAGTAGCTATTCCAAATGGAATCCATTTGTTACATCTTTTTAGAAGCAGGGTTTGCACACCAAATTCTAATTTTGCAAACTAAAAGTCAATCCCATAGACCAAATGCAGGAACAGTATCATTACACATAAAATAACTAGGGAGCACCAAACTCAAAATGGTTTTTCAACAGAATAAGGAGTTTGCTGCCTCTTCTATTTCTGTTGTGAAATTTTTAATTTAGTTTCCAAACTGGTGTATCCAAACTAGCAGTAGACAGTGTGGTAGCTCTGGATTGCAACTCAGCAAATGTAGCCAAGAGAGACAGATTACGGAACAGTATTTGGGGCTCAAAAGATACGGTAACTAAAAAAATCTTGTTTCTTATATTTGAGCCTTAATGAAAAAATAATAAGTATAATTGCTTGGGCATATCACCTATGTGCACTAATAATAAAAAGGGTGGTTTTAAATTCATGGGTAATAATCCTAACAATTCTACAAAAAATTGATAAGATACAATACTTTGGCAGACACTACAAAGGTATTTTAATAAAATAGCAGTAAACATTTAACTGAGGCATTTTATCTAATCTTTAATTATAGAAATTATTTAGGGACTAGACTTTGTTTTTCACAGTTCACAAATGCTTTTCATGTCAACATTTTATTATTTTACATCACTTTCCAAGAAGGTAGAACTTTTAAAATAAAACACACGGTGAACATTAGTGTAGGAAAATAAAGTATGTGCAAATGGTTGGACTCAAAGTGTAAGAACAAACAAGAAAATAACCACTTAAATAGAAACAGTGATTTGAGATGCTGTGTTGAACTAAAGAAATAAAAATGTCTTAGTTCAAAATAGAAAGCTAAGTACTTGCAATTTCAAGTTTCCACAGTTCCAAAGAACAAAGAATACAATTCAGTGCAATGATAAGAAATTACAATCTCTTTACTTTTATGAATTACACTACTGTTGGTACTTTGTTCCATAATCTTTAAATCACTCAAACAGACTTGCTTAAGATTTTATTTTTTAACGAAAAAAAAGCAAAATTAAAGCTAAACTACATTTTACACATACCTCTGGAAAATCTCCTGACATTCTAGCAAATAATGTTTTTTAGTCAATATGTACACTTGCCAGAATGAGAGATATAGATAAGTTAGGATGCCATTTCATCTGGCAAACCACTGCAAAAAATTTTTGGCTAAATGAAACAAGTGCAATTAGTTAACAATAAAGGTGCTGTACTTAATAATACAAAAAAAAGGAAAAACCTACCGCAAGTTATGCCATTTTGTAGATTATTTGAAAAATCCACGTTTGTCTTTCTATGCAAAGAGAAGTCTGTAGTTACCTTTACAGAGTGAAGACATTTCCCTTTGCAAAATACAGTTCAGATGTACATTATCATGCAAAAAAATGTTAACAGAATGTTACAACAATTTGGAAAAAAAATGTCCAAGCATCCTTTTAACACTGTAATATATTAGGTTTTTTTTTTTTTTACAGTGGCAGACGTTTCCAGTGCATGGGGTCATAAGTCACCATACAATTCAGAGACAGGAACAAAGGGCTTTGTAATTTTTTTGTATTTCCCCACTGTCAGATCTTTTTAAATGTAGAAGCTATTTTTAGCGCCGAAACCAAAGCCAACTATTTAGTAGCCAGAAAGCTACAGTGATTGAATACATGATCATCTCCCTTTTAGCACGCTCTTTATTTTCTTCTTCCAGAAGTTGTAGGCGGCGATTAAGTTTTATTATCTAAAAGACAAAAATAAATATTAATATTTTCCACAACTACCTGAGTGATCAAGCAGAGTCTGTCAATATAGTACTTCAATCCTGGAAGCCTACTGTTTAACCCAGTGTTTCTCAACCTTGACAATTTTAAGGCATGTGGACTTCAACCCCCAGAATTCCACAGCCAGCATTGCTGGCTGTGGAATTCTGGGAGTTGAAGTCCACATGCCTTAAAATTGTCAAGGTTGAGAAACACTGGGTTAACCAATAGAAGACCTGTTTTCGGTAAGATAATACTCTTGCCCTTACAATCTTTGTAATTTGGGCTACATTTTCTTTCATGTTCTGTATTTATATTAACAAATTCATATTTTTATCTCCTGCATTTCACTACTTTTATCACACCTTTTCTTGCAGGGAGCTACTGCAGTCATGGTATATCATTAGCACTCTGTTTCCATACATTTTATTCTTCAGCATGTAAACTGGGACTGAGTTTGTGGTTGTAAATTGTCACAGTCACAAGTTGAGGCACCCACGTGACCAAACCCAATTTTATGATATTTTTGTAGCATCACCGCACACATTAAGTAAATCCACAATCATAGAGCAAACACCATGGTTATAAGTGGAAACCCATTCTTTCAAATGGGTGTTTTGCCAGAAACTGGTAAAAAACATCACAAATCACCATAATGCCACCATGGTATGGTGCAACTGATTGTAAAGACAAGCTGATTGCCAAATAGTTGAAATACAGTCACATGACCATGGAGGGATGGCAATACATTTTACGATGGGCAGAAGTGCATTATAGATATAAAGCACCCATTCTGAGCCTCTCATAATTTTGACTTCTCATTAGTTGAGGATTATTTGTAATTGTTGCAATTTTGAATATTTTTCTAGGCTTTTAATTTTAAACATTTGTGAAAGCTTTCTGGTCTTACAGTTCAACCCTTTTTCTAGATTTATTCATCTGAAAACTGCTTTGCAACAAATAATACAAAAAACTTTACAGTATATGAAGAATGACACAACATAAAATGCATGAATGAATCTTGGCCGGGGACCCTAATGGGGAAGCGTCACACTAGAGGTGATTGATGATTTAAGAGGCAATTCTACCAACCCCACAGGCATCCTGTTCTTTCCCTTCCCATCTTAATAATAATAATAGTGATAAAGTTGGAAGGGACCTCGGAGGTCATCTAGTCCAACCTCCTGCTGAGGCAGGAAACCCTATACCATTTCGGACAAATGGTTGTCCAGTTTCTTCTTAAAAACTTCCAGTGTTGCCGCATTCACCGCTTCTGGAGGCAGGTTGTTCCACTGGTTAATTGTTCTAACTGTCAGGAAGTTTCTCCTTAGTTCTAGGTTGCTTCTCTCTTTGGTTAGTTTCCACCCGTTGCTTCTTGTCCTGCCTTCAGGCGCTTTGGACTATAATTTTTAATCTTTTAACTATAATTTTATCTTGAGTGGGATTTCCATTTTTATTGACAAAGATATTTATTTGTTAGGATTTTAATGTTTTAAAGCTGCAAGCTGCCCAAAGTTGTTTAGTTATGAGACGTTGGCAAATAAATTCAATAAATAAATAAATCTTAATACAAGCAGCGTTTGTTCAGCAACTTGAAACAAAGCAACAGAATATATCTTCTCAACAGCCTTTCCTTTTCAAATATTTCTACTCATATTTGTGCTGGGACATTCCTATATTTTATTAATTTAGAAACTGAGAATGCTGAGAAAATAACTTTGTACAATTGTTGATAAACTGTATTTATGATACCAACTATGAATACACTTCAAAATGTTAATGGTAATGCAATTCTGGTCCCTTACACTTCATATTTACTATATAAATTAACTATATTATGTAAATATTATAACTATAATAGCTGAAGAATTTTAGATACCTGTCGTCTTAAAGAAGCAGCATCCACAACTGTCATATCTTCTGATGCTCCCTCTAACGATGTGTCTATATTTGAAAGAGTATATCTGTATGACAGAAAAATACAAACATTCTTCAGTGGCACAAAGAGAATTACAGGTAAAATATCAGCTTTTTTTTACACATTTTTACCACCTTCTGAAAAACAACCCTTAGACCATTAGACATCATACAGAGTGGTAATTCAATGCAGCCTGAAGAAATGCAACTATAGCAAAAACAAAACAAAGCAGAAAGATATTATCTGTGAAGTGAGAAATGCTTCAAGCTGTTTGAATTCTAGAAAAATACAGTATTTAATTCTAGAGTGAAATAATGAGAAGAATTTCAAGAAATAAATACTAAAAGATATGCCTTTGAGGGTTAGTTATTGGTAATAACCAATCAACATTAAAGACAGAGGTTGGGTGTACAAAACCCCAAACACTAAATTATGGTTTGTTTTAAACAATATCTATATGTGTTGCCAGCTGTTATGATTTGTAAGTCATGATTTATAGTATAGTGTGTGAGCAAAGACACTAAAGCTTGTTAAGAAAACTAGTTAAAAAAGTATGTATTAATGTTATGTGAAGAGTGACAGGGCTAGGTTTGTGATAGGCATACATATTCCATCTTGACAGTATGAGGATGAAACAGCAATGAAGATGCACCTCAATTACGAAGTGACATGTAATCATAAAATTCTGAAAACCAAATTTAGGTAGCCGAACAGGAGTTTTAAAACCAATGTTTCAGAAAAATGTTGCCAAGTACATACGTAAGCTCAGGACTAAGTAAAAGTACTGATGAGACTTTCATCAATATATGGATAAGATTTATAGGAGAGGAGCTTAAATTAATAAGATAGTAGAAAATAAATTTGGGCAAGCCAAGCCAATACAAAAGGGATAATAAAGACATCTTGAGCTGAAGAAAAAATAAAATAAAAAAGATTCTAAAAAAGAATTTCAATTCTTTTTGAAGCAACTGAAGTAGCCTAAATCCTGAATAAATTATGCTACAGTTACTACATTGTGATATAATATTGTTACCCTATATAAATGTATCATAGATCACTGGAATCATAAAAAACAAAGAGAAGGAATCCTAAGTGCAAACCAAGATCTGGAACATTGGAAACTAAGTTTTAAATTTTAAATAAATGAGAAAGTCATCCAACAAATCTGATATTGCTACACTAGTGTTCAACAGAAGAACAATAAAAATAAGGACTGAGAAAAAAATAAATTTGAAAAGGAAATGGGGAAGGGGAACAAGCCTCTTTAGAGCACTCAAAACAGAACAGTATAAAAAAATGTATTGAGCAAACTAGTTCAGGAACACCTTTGTTAGTTTGCAGAGAAGCTAACTAAATGCAACTTTACCTGGCTTCATCATGATGACGGCTAGAGGAACTGACAGCTGCTGACCCACCACGTAACACTGGCCTAAGGCAAGATTTGTAGATACGAAGGAAATAGGAAAAAAAAAAAACAAGGAGAGAAGTAGAAGAACAAAAAAAAGCCCTGAAGTCAAAGATTGTTATTTCTATTATACAGTATTGCAATTACAAATCCTATTTATATTTAGAAAATATTCCATTTTATAATGGAATATTATACTCCATGATGTACAAATGATTTTCCCAGATTATAATTAGCTTAATCCAATTATGACAATTTTTTGTTCCACTGATTTCAAGGGCCTATTCTAAGTACAGGTAAATTTTATCAGAATCATTTCATTTTTACTCATCCTCAGCAAAGCCTGGGCAAAAAGCCAAGTCAACAGGGCCATCTGAAATGCCAGCAAGTTGGGAGCCATCAGTATCTCAGAGAGAACTTTATTCCAGAGGGCAGGCAGTACTGCATCGAAGGCAAACCTCTGGAGTCCCCAACGGATGGCAACATTTAACTGAAGGAACCCAAAGCACACCACCCTGCCAAATTGAGATTGTGTGTTCATGCGTCTATATCTTTTTATAATTATAATAAAATCACTTCTATATTACTGGTATTCATTTATTATTTCTCATTTTGCTTTTAATTGACATATAATTTCTAAAATTTCATGAAACATTTGAGCATCCTAAAGTTGTAATACAAACTAACAATAAATGTACATGCTCATATTTTCACTCACAGCGAGAATAATTTTTAAAAATACTATTTCAATTGTTTTCATAAAAATCTATGACATAACATTGTCATTTTCCAAGAAATCTTAGAGTAAGAAAAATAATGGCCAATACAAATTGCCAAATACATCAACTGCTGAGACATCATGGGACATTTTTCTAACACTTAGAGCAAATACTTAATACAATCTTTTTAATCTGACAAGTAACTATTTCCCCCCAAATTATTAGTTAAGAACTGAGTTAATGTATGCTTTACATAACATATCACAGAATTCTATTGAAAAGACAATAAACACAAGAACGTTCATGTTTACAAGTAATTGGATGCAATTTAAATTATCAATCTAGAAGGCATATCTACATTTAATAAAAATGGAAAAATAAAGATTCCAAGGTATGGTCATGTCCACAAAGTCCATTTTGGCAACAATACAGAAGTTATTTGCCCCTGACTTATTCTGAAAATATTTTCAATTTTCCAATCTAGACTAGAGGTTTGATACTTCCTAATCATTTTGCCGTCCAAAAACTAGGGCTGTGTAAATCTTTGAAGGGTTAGATTGTTCAAGGTTTGGGCAAACACCCCTTTCAAGTTAATTTTACAAAGCAAAGTGTGTCCCTCAGTTCTAAGAGCAAAGCAACTATGATGTTCTGCTTCACAATGCTCCCAGCTTTTTTCTGCAGAGCTTACACCGTGAAGAAAGTTTTGGAAGATCTTTCAGTGAACACTGCAGAAGACAGAACTAGCCAGATTTTCTGTGAGTTTGTGGGACCTCCACTGAATCTACTCAATTTAAAGACATCTCGATACACCACCAAGGTTTTCAAGGTTAGACAGCTTCAGTGCACACTGAATCTTCTAACATGTGCCAAACCCACTTAGCTAGAAGCATTTTGGCCAGCATTGGGAGAGAAGACTCCAGAGGTTTTTCCTGAAACACTGGCCTGATTTGTGGCAATGTAAATTGCTTCACTGAGATAAAGAGAATTACAATATATTGTTTCTACATGAATGTCAGTTCAAGCATAGGTTTACCAGGTACAGACAAGGTCTAACCCGGCACTGCTTTTCAAGAGAAGCCTAGATTGGCTGGATGTTACCACTTAACTGTATTAGTGTATTGTGGATATGCCAAATAGCCCAGCAAGCTGTTGTTATCGAAAATATGGAATTATGTACTTCTATTAAAAATAGAAAACTTCATTAACCAGCCTTATGTAAATCATCCTATAAAAATCACAGAACGTATTTTGCTTGCATGCTGTAACTTGCACTGCTAAAGAATTGTTTGGCACCATCTGAAGAAGTGTGCTGAAGATGACAGAAAAGGATGAAGATTGCCAAGAGGCAATAACTAATTAATTCAGAGGGTATGGTTGGAGTCCCAGGAGAGGACTGATGATGATGATTAAAAGTATATCTGCCAAAGGGAAGAAAGCAGACAACTAGCTGCTGCCATTCAGAACCAAGACAGAGGAAAGCAAAAACTGTCATTGATCTCGCTAAGCTTTCTTTAACACTCAAATTAGGGCACAGGGTGAAGCGTAGGACATACATCTGTTAAGCATGTATTGTAATCTGCACACACACACAAACACTTAACAGTTGCTCTGAGATTAAAAGTTGAAGTGCATTAAAAAAAACAGTTAACACACTAACTACCATGTCCATAAAAAATGAGGAAGATATTTTTTGCAATGGAATCTATCTGTCAATTGTACTTGCAAAGCTTAGTTGGGTCTGAAACAACATCAAATGTATGTTATCAGGAGCTTGAATAGAAAGAGGGCAAAACCTTGTCTTTTTCAAAATCACACTGCTTCATTTGCAAGGTTTGCATGAATGCTTTGGACACTATTCCCAGGTCTTTCTGCATGAGTGCATACACATTCCACCGATTGAGAAACAGGTTTTTTTAAGTGCTTTCAACTGCCTTATTGTTCATTCAAGTGTATTTTATATGGCAACTAGCAAGTCTTTGGATAGTAAATCTGAAGGATTTCCAGCGTTTTGCACCCTGAAGATGTAGCGGCTGCTCCTAACTTTAGTTTTACATGAAAAGAAAGGTTAGATCTACAATGAGGACATTTGAAGAGCAACATAAATCAATGCAACACTTACTGCTTCTACAAATGGATAAGATTAAAACTACACATTTGAGAAAAAAGAAAAAGAAAAAGGGAGGCAGCTAAACACAAATGTGCAAATGGAGACATAAATGAAGTTTCCAATCTGAAGTCATTCCCCGGCATGTACCTGAAACATTTTAATATGAGATGCTAAGAACTGGATAAAGAAAGACCTGCATGCAGCAGCTACAGGTTATATCTAAGATATGGCCCCATTTGCTTTTAGAATACTGATTTGATAATACAATTCTCAACTCATTACTAACAAAACTTCAAGTAGTACCACATCAAGTATCAACATTCAGGAATACTGTAGTTTCCTTCAGTTTAAACGTAAATTTTAATATTCTTTGCATCAAGTACATTATATCTTCCAAAAAAAGAGAAGCATATTTAACCTCTAGCTTACTCTTATATAAAAGCCGGAAATACGCCCGCTCAGATTTAGTCTACCTACCTCTTAAAGTCATATTCATCTTCTATTGTATCATACTCACAAAACTCTTATTCTTCAACTTTTCTAGAATCCTAATCTTTAATGAGACCTTTTAGACTTTATATTTGACTATATAGTATTTCTACAACCAACCAACAGAATAAGTTCTCTGAGCAACTTATATTAAACATTAAAAGAAGTGTGTCATACTTTTACAATGAAAAGTATATCTAAAGTCAAAGGTATATTGAAAGGGCTGTAATGAAATATACATTATAAAACACTTGCTCAACCTAGATATAGATATAAATATATCTAGATATAGATAAATTGTAGACAAACAATATGACAGGAAGAACTTATCTCTTTTAAATTATCCACCAATACAGCAGTTCACTATGAAAGTTTCTGATATAACAGTAATATCCATATTATAGATGTCTTAAATACAAGGCAGATGCTTTGAATTTTTTTCAAGATAGCAAAAACATGTGTCACATTCATAGTGGAGTCCTAGATGTTCCCTTAAGATCAGGCTCGTCAAAGAGAATTTTTGAGAAAAGAAATGTTAGAAAAAGAGTTTATCCTATGATTGATTTATTAGCCATGATATATAATCAACATTTTAATTGACAATAGAACATACTGTAGTTATGCAAAGCATGGATGGGATATGCGGGAATCAGAAAATATTTTAAAAGAAAAATAAAGCAGAACAAAAACCAAGTTTTAAAAACTGTTAAATAAAATAATATGCTTAAATAAAATAATATGCTTAAAACAGCAAAAAGCAATTCTATAAATAAAAATACTGTAAAAGAATCAGCAACTGTAGCCATGCAAGTAATATATTTTCCAAATTTCACATTCCTGCATGCGAATTTTAGAAGTTTAATTTTAACCTAAAGATGGGTTTAAAAGAAAATACTATAATACTTGATTTTTAAAATTATATTTGAGATAAACTAGAAAGATAAACTTATTTAGATTTCTGATTATTTCTCAAGGCCTTATTATTACTTGGTTGAATTATGTCTAATTGATTTATAGAATTTAAAAACTATGATTCTCAAAATCTTGAGAAAATATTTTAAGATTCATAATCAGGGAGAACTGAATGTACCTACCTCTATAAAACCTAAGCAAGTACTGCAGTTAAGTTTTACATCTGCAAGAAACTTAGTTTTTAATGTAGAAAAGAAGGTATGAGTATTTAAATAAAAACCACAAAAACTGTTAGTGTAAAGAAAGTGGACTGCTTAGATATATGGCACAACAAAGTTCTAAAATAGGGTAATCATTAAAGAAATATGTTCCAATAGAAGTGTTAACAGGTTGTTCTATTGCTCTGGAGAACCATTATAATCTCAATTGAAGTAAAAAAAATCAGTGACTAACTCCTATGTTGATTCCAATTTGACCTTAAAAATGACAATAAGGACTAAAATTGCTAAATAGAAGTTCTGCTGACATAGCAGAATACAATAGAACACCTGATCCTTTGCTCTGGTCTCATAAGAGAAGCCCAAACATTACTAGGTTCAAAAACAGATGCAGCATGTATAAAAACAAGCTCTTTTGGTATGGAAAAAATTAATTAATTATTTGGTAGAAATGGAAGTAATAGCTCTTACTAAATAACAAATAAAATTTCAAGATACAGGTTAATATTTGACAGATTTCTTATTAATTAGTTGGCTGACAGCAGGTTAGAAAAAATAACTCAGAGCTTTTGAAAGTCATGCATATAAACTGCATAAGCTATCTTTTCCATGCAACTTTCAGGAAGAAATTGCTATAGGCATTTTTTTCCAAACAAGAATTATAGATATTGCAGACAGTATCATACTTTTAATTCCATCCCCTTCAATGTTATTGGGTCTTGATCATCTATTTTTTTTAAAAATTCTATGATTACCATATTATAAGAAGAAAATATTTTATACTCTCTAAGTCAGTTAGAAATAACAAAAGCTATTCTACTGTATTAAGAAAAAACAAAAGAACATATTGTCTTGGATTGTCTAGCTGTATTTAGTGCCCTGTTTCCCTTTTCTACTCCGTGAGAAAAGAATTTTAACTGGCTATTTAAATGTTCAATTTGTCCAAATAAGAAATAAAACTATCCGTGAAATGTGAATTTTGGAAATGTCAGTCATAGATAATAGAAAGAAAAAGACATGAAAAAATATTACTTTTATGCTGTGTACTTTAAAAAAAAATCAAAATTAATAAACTAGAAAATTAAAAGGAAGTAAAAAAGCAGTAAATTGGCAGAATCTGTGATGGCCAATCACCTGCGGTTTTCATCCAGCACATCCAAGACTTGCTGGTAAGCCCTACGAGTAGAAGACTGGATAAGCGACAAAATGCCCCGAGCAGAATAAAGACTAGGTCCATCTTCAGAAAACTTTTGGGGAGAGCAGACACGAACCTGTTGAGGTGATGGTGTCACACTGTTTTGCAAGCATAGCAAATGAAGAGAGAAACACTAGTATCAGGTTTCAGATAGAAAAAAAGTTTTCTCTACCAATCCTTGTTGAAAAATTCAATTGGTCTCAGTTTTTTTTTTTACCATAAATAAGTAAAATATTATCAAATAGAATGTCAATGGAACCTGAAAAACTTTCAGTAGAAAAAACACTTTAAGATAATTGGTAAAGAATCTACTCTGATTTAGTAGACATTTACTAAACTTATTAAATATACAATAGGTATGATAAAATACAATTCTATTTTCAAAACACAAACACAAATCACTCTAATGAATTCCCAGAGATAGATTCTAACCTACTGGGAAACCTACTGAAATTTATAACATTTAATTCAGTTATAATTACTTTTTCAAAAGATTGGTCCTAGTTTTTCATCTAGGTCTGATAACTCCCCCTTCCATCTCAATGGGAGAGAAGAAACATTTGCAAGAGATGACACAATATATGCAGTGTTCCCTCTTTCTTATAGGAATGACATACTGCGAAGCATGTGATTTTGATTAAAATCTGCTGTACAGTATAAAATACTGTAGGCTCAAATATTTATTTTAAACCGTAGAAGGAAGCTATTCTGAAACTGCTCTCAGATATGAAGTTTAGATAAAACTATAATGATATTTACTTTTTGCAAAATAATTAAAGCTTTGTTGAGATTATGAGAATAGACTGCAAAAGAAACAACTAACCAGAGGTGGTGATAAGTTCTAGACATATCCCAAATAAGCAAAACATATTCAAAAATTTATTCTGAAGCAAAATCTTTCAAAAATAATGCACAGAATGGAAATTTGCTGTATAGGTGTTTGTGAATATTTCTATTGGAGATCCTAAACTGAAACTAAATTTTACATTTTATACAAAAAGATTTTGGTCCGTAAACTAAACACTTTAGGAAGATTATGTTTAGATTACATTCTGAAATTATAGCTGTATGAAATAATGTCGACAGCTTCTACTCATATTTTACATAAAAGACAAACTAGAAAAGCTGCCAGCATAATCCTGAATAATATATAAATGAAAACAAGAGTATTCTTCCAATAAGCTCAGTTTTGTAGATTTCTCTGATCGTATGACTTTGAATATCACTAGCAGCTAACTATTCAAAGCAAAATACAAGCCCTATGGATGATGTTTATGTACGGTATTTACTATAGGATTTACCTTTGTGAAAGGTATTGTGAAAATGATAACAATTTTTAAGGACAATTTTTTAAGTTTAACTCTTTGTTGGGAGGTGTACTTCAACTTAAATTCTGGACCATTTTCCTTTCAAGTAATTGTAATATTTATATATTCCTTTTCTGGTGACACACAAGCTAGCTTGTCCATTTAAAATATTTTTTAATCAGTTAAATGTTATGAATTCTTAAAATGTATTATATTCTTAAGATCTTTTTAAAATCAGACTATTGATCTGTTGTTTTGAGTCTAAATTACACTGGAGTCCCCAATATTTTTTTTAGCAAATTAGATTTCTTTCTTTCTTTCTTTCTTTCTTTCTTTCTTTCTTTCTTTCTTTCTTTCTTTCTTTTTGGTTTGTTCATATATTTCCTGCTTTCCACCTAATTTTTTTTTTACTAACTAAAACCTAGCTAAAAATAAATAAAGCTCTTGACAATAGAATTAGCTGGAGGGACAATAACTCCTTAAATTTCTCAATATAAGTGACCTGTTATAAATTAAAAATTGTTTTAAACTTGGCCTCACTTGTAGCTGTTAGTAAATGAGTTTACACATTTTAAAACACCTAAATTGTTGCTTTATTATCACAAATATTTTCCCATGAGTTTCTGCAAGGTTGATAATGTAAAAGTGTTTGAAACCTCAGAAGTCTGACATTAAAATTTGTATCAAAAGCATATGTGAGAACAAAACTAATGAATTTATGTTAAACCAAGCACATGGTTCACTTAGCTCAGTACCACTTATTTTGATTAGCAGTGGCTATCAAGAATTTGAGATTTTTCCCCAGCTTGTTTGTCTTTGTGGAAAGTGAATGTTGAACCCAATATAAGCAAAGCAATGGTCAGCTATGAGTTAATACCCTTCCCTAGGTTTTGGATGACATACCGTATACTGTAAGGAACATATACATATGGATTGACTTAGGAATCATTTACATAGAGGCACTTACAAAAAAATAGACCATATTAATACTAATATAACTGATATCAAATTTCCCATAATTGTGAAAATTAAACATATAAGCATGTATGTAATACTTTTCAGCTTGAGGTTCCCCAAAATAATGTTATTAATATGCAAACCAAGACTGGCCTTGCTGTACAAAACTATTCTGTGTTTATCTTTTCCATTCCAGTTATATTAAGGATGAAGCTTGCATTTTTAATGTAATTAAAATTTTAATGTAGCCAAGATCTCTAAATTATTGTACAAAGCCCACAGGTTTGCATAATTTGCTGACAACAATTTTGCATCAGAAAACTTCTTTACGTGTAGATACTGTACATATTGAAGAAATAAATCTGACACTAAGCACTCTACATATTTGCTAAATCCTTGAATTTATGTAATATTTGCAAAGAATCTATGGCCATAAAATTTAAAGTGAACTAATGAATCAAATATATGATTCAAATTACACACATTGCATTTTTCTAAACTGATCTGAGAGAATAATTGGCAACCCTCAAGTCACCATCTTGAATTATGTATAAAAAAGATGGAATAAAGTATAATAACAACCCTGAAAGCTTGAATAGATACATCTTATTTGTGGAAAGGAAAATATAAACAGTATCTCTCTTCCATTCCAGTTAGTTACTATTTATGATGAAATTTACCCAATCAGGATATTTATTTATTGGGGATAAAAAAAAAATCAGAGTTCTAGAATTTATCCACAAGATGAATTATGTTCATATCTAATTTTATTATACACAAACACACATGCACACCATGTACGTACATGTGTGGTATGTACATAATTAAAAGTGCTACATACTGCAATACAATCCAATAAGCTTCATTTCAGATAACATGGCTAAACAAATGTTGACATAATGCAATAAACAGTGACTAATCAATTGTTAGTAAACATACTTGTATTTCATTTTTAGCTATAAAAGATGACTGGTACTGGGACATTTTTGTTTTCCAGTCAGTCTCAATATATTGCTATCATGAATAACAGTTCTGATTATTGGAAAGTGTTCTCTTTAAATTAATTAAGCAGAGAAGGCATTATGGTTGATCATCACTTCTTGCATCTAGTTATTATTAATTTTGAGGAGCATTTAAGCATCATTATATGTCAAAAGATGATCAGGGTAGGCACTTACACACACCACTATGGGACGAAATGGTGATGACATATAAAATAATATTTTCTTTATGTAGACAAAAAATGGAACTAAAATCTTCTAAGTTGATAAGGTTTGGATACAGAATTTTTCATTGTTACAACTAATGTGCTAGATTCTCATATAGTTAATTTACTATAGCACAGAACAGTTCCACCTACAAATATATATAAGCATTTCTAAAAGAGGAAAAGCATGGTTTTTTGTAAAAATGCTGGATAATAAATTAGGACAATAAAGGTAATAGTTTATATATCTAAACTGAAGATTAAAACATCAATATATCTTCAGGCCTTTGAACGCAACCTGTGTGAAATATCTAATTGAAATAATAAGAGGTCATGTGAAGAAGAGAAGTTATAGGAAGAATTCCTTGTAATTATCACAGATGTATTTGGAAAATGATACAGTTATTAATCATTTACTTGCAAAAAAGTGACACGAATAGCAAAAATACATATTAGCAAATACAAATGAGATGATAAAGACAAATTTAGAAATAATGTCCAATCCTTACAATGCAATATAATATACCTCTCCACAATGTCATCAGATGACTGATATAGCCGCTCAGTTCAAATGCTAATAGCTGGCAGGCAACCTCAAGATTTCTGCTTTATAATTTTATTTTATGTTTCTTTATCTTTAAAATTGGTTTTGACTGGACAGAGTTTCAGAATAGTTGTTATCTAATACATCTTAGTTTATTTATATCTCTGGATTGTTTGTCCTTTGAATAACAACTTTAAATATGCCTCACAGGGAGGAGACCAGTTAGTTGCTTCATCTAGCTTCCTTCTTCCAGCTTTTCCCCAATTGCAGGTGAAAGAAACAAGATGGAAAACCTTTAAGAAATTATTCAGAGAACACCCATAACATTAACAGCATATTGGGGACATATTCTTAAAATGGTTGCCATGGTAGGATGGCTTACATATTTATAAAATGGCTGTCATAATGATCACAGCCAGTCAAAAAACATACATATTACAAAAACAAACAGGCATGGCTGCTGCCAACCATCTCCCTCTGGACTTCTATAACCTTCCTAACACTTTTGTTGTCTTTATTGGAAAAGCGCTTGCTTCCCAATAAGCCAGCGGGTTATCAATATCCACTTTTTATTTTCTAAAAACGAATTTGTGAGCCATATAGATATCCTTGGGAGGAAATGGGATTAAAGGTGCAGCATCCTAGCTCTCCATTTTATGTAATTAGAATATCTGAAAATAAAACAAAGAATGGGCTGGACATCAGGAAGGTACCCATGATTTAAGTATGCTTTAAAGATTAAGGTTGCAATTTATCACAGGACTTCATACATGTGGTTTATTTAGTTATTAAATTTGTTTGCCACCCATCTTGCTGCATTAGGATAATGCAATGAAGAGGCTGCTGAGTGCTTATCCTAATTTATTGGTTATGAAACAAAAATATGGATGCAACTGCCTACTATCATTCCTTGTACATTAAAAAATGAGAGCAAAGAAATCCAAAGAATTAAAAATAGCAGCTGTAATTCTTTAACTTTTTCATTGCATTATTTACAAACAGGCAAGATCAATTTTGAGCCTCAAGGCTAATATCAAAGGGCTGTAAACAGATCAAATAAATGCTTGAAAGCATTTCTTAATCAAGAACTAAGAAAAAACACAGATCAGGTCTCATTTACATATGCATTCATAATCCTTTTCTACTCACACTGCTTCATTTCTCATCAACTGGCCATTCTGACGAGTTGCATTTTCACTCATGGAACGTTCTCTTTTCAGCCTTCCTACTGACCGAATCTGCCAGAAAAAAAAAGAGAAAAAGAACAAATAAAAAATAGTACTTTACTGTATCAATAGCATTAATAACTAGGTTAATCTAGTAGACAACTGATTTTGACTAATGCAAGCTTTTTAAATACTGGGTTTTCTATTAGAATGTAAGATCTATATTTCATACAATGATCCCCTATATTTTAGCAACCATGATTTTGAAAATGCGTAATTCACAAATAACTCTAAAACAGATTCATATACAATTAAGTGTGTAGATTCATATATAATACTAATAATTCAGAAAAAGTTCAGCTTATTGGAAATGAATAAATGTTCTAATGCACACTGCCTGATTGTTTTTGCTTGATTGCTCTTGTCACCTGAAGCAGCTAAAGTAACCAGGAAATCTGATGTAGCATTTCATATAAATCAGGATTCCCAATGCTGAGGAATATGGAGATAGCATTCAAAAAGAAATCCAGTTATAGAACATCAGCTTAGGAAGGGATGGGGAAAAAAGATTCAAGATTACCCCATCCTGATTCTCTTTGATAAAAGAGGGAAAAAAAGAGTCTTCATCATATTTCAAGATTCTACCCTGTAACAAAAAATAGAATTCCACTAGTTCATGTAGTATCTATTTTCAGACCCAATATGCCTCAATCTGATACTCAGCTTGTTTTCTTCTAAATTCCTATAATAGTATATAGCCAATAGCATTTCTCCAGACTGTTTTTGTAGATGGATATCGAGATACATCATTAAATAAATTATGGGCAGATAAAAGTTTTATGTGTCAATTATCAGCTCTATACTTAGAAATTGAATCTCTGTCATTCATGCATAAGCATTTAAACCCTGAGTTATGGGCAATGTCAGATAACTGTAATTTATTGTGAATCCAGTAAAGCTGGAGATTTAGATGATATGCCTGTCAGGCCCAAAACCAAGAATGATATCTCGTAATTCTTTCAAGCTGAATTGTTTCATACCTATAGACCAAATCTTGCCAGACTAAAGACTCTATTATCTGCACCTACAATATACTTGGTGACCTATTAGGGAGGGACTGTCTTCACCCTCTTTCATACCTGATATCTGGGTGGGGCTGCCCCTTCTCCCTCTGGAGTGCACCTCCCTCCAATCCTGGGGATCCATCCGGACTACATTCCATCACATCACCTTTGCATTAGTGAATTAATGGCCTATATCCCTGATTATATATTATTACCTCTATATAAAGTTTAACTTAGAAAAGGATTTCAAGTCTACTTTAGAGCATTAAACTATGGCACATGAAAATAAAAAGAGATGGAGAGTAGTTGTAAAGAGTATAATTGATGGCATAGCTCTCACTTTTATAATTAACTCACCAGGAGGGTCTCAGAGTAACCTGCTGCATTTCAAACCTCATCCTTCCACATCACTTTGCAAAAACTAATATAAAGTTAATATTTGAAATAAGGTGCATGGTATATTTTCAATACTAGCAATCTATTGTGTAGAAAATAGAGTGTAATAACTGAAGAGTTGTTAAAATGACAAATTATTTGTGACTTTTTTAACTTAGAAGTCTATGTTTCTGTTAACAAAGATATACCAAAAGAATATTTAAAAAGGCATGTATTTTCTTTCAGCATCTTAATCTCAACAGTTTTTAAAGAAGAGATTGGATAGTCTACACTCATATAAGGTCTCCTGCTTAAGCAGGGTGTTGGACTAGAAGAACTCCAAGGGCCCTTCCAACTCTGATAGTTTGTATTATTTTAAACAAAATAAATTTTATTAATATACAGTATTATAGAAAGGATACTGGTGAAATGAAAACAAATAATCAATTTATTTTATAAAAAGTGATGCTCTGGCATATCTCCAAACTTATTTAAGTCATACTGAATAGATTTTATACCGTAGGTAGTCCTCAGGTAATGACCACTTATTCAATGACTATTCAAAGTTATGACAATGCTGAATGAATAATGGTTATGATTGGTCCTCTAATTTCATGATCATCATGTGATCATGATCTGGCTGTTTGGCAACTGGTTCACACTTATGGAGTTTGTACCATTCGATGTCACATAAGCATGAACTGTGACCTTTCCTGCTGGCTTCCCTCAAATAAAGTCAACCGAGAAGCCGGCAGTGAAAGTTGCAAGTTGTTCATGGAAGTCTCCCCCACTTGTACATCCCCCCCCATCTCCTCTGAGCCTGCACCATGCCAGCCACCTGCACACCTTCCACATACTATGCTATGCTTGTGCTGTGACTCCCTGGCCACTTGCACACCCTCCTCAGCTACTGGCACTTCACCCATCCAGCAGCATCCATTTCAAGCCCCACCATGTCAGTGCCTTGCTTCCCCCATTACTTGTACTACCTTGTGCACCCTCCCCTACCAGCAGCAGTCACTTACCTGCCTACCAGCCTGCTTGCGAATCTGCTGGGACTTGCAACTTCTTGTGGACTTCCCCACTGACTATGGTTGTTGGAAGTTGGTAGGAAGTTGCAAATGATCTACAATCCTCGCTTAACAACTGCAACAGGATTGCAGGGATTGCCATTGCTAAGCAATGCAGTTGTGTAACATTGCACTTTATGATTGCATCAGTTAGTGACAGAAATTCCGGTCCAATTGTCATTGTAATTCAAGAACTCTCTGTATTCTGAACAGGATTATCATGCAGAACATTTTCAATGTTTTGTTTTTGACTTTAATAAAATATTAAAATCAAATGTGATATTAGAAAGAAAGAAAAAAGAAGTATACTAGCCTCTTCATTCTGAGGAGTTTGAGGAGGAGGTCTTTCTAGGTCCAGAAAATCTAGCGGACGATCACTAAGTGAAATAACCCGGGGAGGTGTTTTCAGTGACAGAGATTTGAATGTAGTTGACTGTAAAAGATCTAGATCTGGGGGCCTAGAAAGTGGAATGTCTTCGCTATTACCTACAAAAGAGTTAATTTTAAAGTCAATAATACATTGAGTTATTTACTGTGTTTCAATGGACTGCAGAAACATGGTGCTTTATATTTAACTTCAAATATAAATTTACTGTGTGATCCAAAGCATAAGATTATCTAGTGATTGTAGCCAATGTTTTTGGAATCATTACATACTGGTATACAGATACCATTTTTCAATAATATACACTACACACAACACATATATGTATAATGTACAGTAGGTAGATACAGAGCTGACAAAAGAAAGAAGGAGTCCTTAACTATTTTGTGTCATGGTTTACCTGGAAAGACTGATGAACTCTAGAAACCCCTTTTCAGAGAAATGTATTTAAATGCATAAAAGACATAGACAATACAGGTAGTCCTCGACTTACAACAGTTCATTTAGTGACCATTCAAAATTACAACATCACTGAAAAAAGTAACTTATAACCATTTTTCAAACTTACAATCGTTGCAGCATCCCCATGGTCACGTGATATAAATTCAGACAGTTGGCAACTGGCTCACATTTATGATGGTTGTAGTGTCCTGGGATCATGTGATCACCTTCAGCAACCTTCTGACAAACAAAGTCAATGGGGAAGCCAGATTCACTTAACAAACATGTAACTAACTTAACAACTGCCATGATTCACTTAACAACTGTGGCAAGAAAGGTCATAAAGGGGGCAAAACTCACTTAACAAATGTCTCGCTTAGCAACATAAATTTTGAGCTCAATTGTGATCATAAATTGAGGACTACCTGTATTGCAAAATAAATCAGTTATGCTCAAATACAATGATCAAAGTATTAAAAAATAAACATATAATACATTTGAAAAAAGAGTTGTGATTCTTTTTCCACTGAAATTCATGAAATCCCTGAAATCTATCACAACGATAATTTGGTTAAGAACTCCTCATCTAAAGCTAAACATACCTGCCACTACAATCCGTTCTGGCACCTGCATTGTTACGCTGGCATATGGGAGCCCTCCTTCAGGACAACTTTGCTCAAGGTCCGCATTGGGTGGTGCTACCTTGAGTTTTTCTGGAACTCTCATTCTCTGGTTGATCCCTTCGGTATATTCAATTTCATATTGAATCCGATTCATTTCTGCCATTTCGGCAGCTGGAGATGGGAATGCCGCTGTGCTCATCCTAACATGAGATGAAGCAATTCAAATTATAAACCAACAATAACATGTTTTTAGTGTACAATGATTTATATTGCATATGATAACAAGTGCATTTTTTTCAAAGACTCTTTCACATCACAAGGTTTATTTATTGTAGCCTATTAACTTATTAAACAGTCAGGTCCGTGTGATTAACACTGGATATAAATTACTGCTAGAAATTTCTATTAATCATTGGAATCCCAATTTTATATAGGAAAATCTGCACATCATCTTTTTTTAGAAGGGTAGCATGAAATATTAAGGAGCAAATTGCCAACGCAAAGCAATCAATTTAGAAACATGACTAAGATACTAACATCACAAATTTTCAGCACGCTAACTACAGAAAGACTGTAGCAAAAGTACTGACATAGTCTCATCTATTGATATATCACAATTCATAATCTATTGCACCCTAAGACAGTTAAATACATTTTACAAAAAATAAAATATACTTAAAAGGCCTAGAAAAGGTAAGGATTAAAAGTAGGGGCTATGCAAGAAATAGAATAGAAACTACAAGAAAAAGGTTTCCATCTTTTGTCTGTTCTCTGAATCTTGGCATGAAAAGACCTATGAACAAAGGCTGCTCTGGATGACTTAAGAAAGGAGACTTGTGTCAGGTATTACAACATAAAATCTGTATCTCAAAATCAGGCATTTTCAATGAGTATCAAAACTAATAAAAAGTAATAATATGCCTGGTACCAAATGGCAGTTGTATTCCAGCGTCCAGGCAGTCTTAAAAAAAGCCCGATGTACACAACTTTGCAAAAATTAAAAAGGAAATTGCCAGTTTCTAATTGGAATATTAGCTATGATTGTTAAAAGGGAGCAGACATTAAATTTCACTTTAGCCTTAATTGACAACGAAAGACCCAGGAATACTCTCAAGCTATGGACTTACAGCATTCTCTCCAGGGAAAATGTAACTAAATAGATTGAATTCTTCTCATACAAACTGCGGAATTATTCATTAATCTTCTATGTTCTCAGGCTTGAGCTTCACTTGTCGGCACCATCCACTCCAATACCATAGCCAGGGATCAGCCTCCCCCAATTCAAAAGGAAAAACAGAACTGTACAGGTAGTCCTCGACTTACAACCATTTGCTTAGTGATCGTTTAAAGTTAAAATGGCCCTGAAAAAAGGGACTTACGAGCTATTTTCACACTTATGACTGTTTTGGCATTCCCATGGTCATGCGATCAAACTTTGGGCACTTTGCAATTGGCATGTATTTCTGACAGTTGCACTGTCCTAAGGTCATGTGATCACCATTTATAACCTTCCCAGCTGGCTTCTGACAAGCCAAGTCAATAGGGGAAGCCAGATTCGCTTAACGACCACATAATTCATTTAACTGCAGTGATTCACTTAACACTTATGGCAAAAGGAACATGGAGCAAAACTCACTTAATGACTGCCTTACTTGGCAACAGAAATTTTGGGTTCAATTATGGTTGTAAGTCAAGGACTACCATATGTGATTTGCATAGAGCACAGATTAAGCCACTCCAGTCTTTGCCCCATTACTTTATTCAATAGTTTCAATAAAGATGAAAAACAACATAGCAATAAACAGGCTTCTGAACTATTATGGAGTCAAAATAGCTGTCTAGAAAGGAGCAGAAGCACTTCAAAGCAGTCTCTTGTACATTCAATTGTGATAAGCTACTGTAGAAAAATAGCAGATCAGGATAAACTCACTGAAATCTGCTGGGTTAGAACCAGAAGAGCCTTGAATAAAATTAGACATTTTATGGGGTGGCCAAAGGTGCCTTGTTAATATTACAAAAGACTAGCATATATGACGCAGCTCAAGCTGAGTTGCAGTATTTCTTTTGAGCATGACTGTTCTGTGGTTCAAGAAACTGCAGCAAAATCTTCAGCAGAACAAAAGAAAATGCTTTTTACAAATGTCCAGTATGCCCACACAAAATATTTCCTTGTGGAGAAAAAAAAAATCACTACTATGAATATATCCTTCAGGCCCAGAATTCTATAGAATCAAACTAATTATTTAAATAATTTTGTAGAATTATCCATCTTATAGCAGTGACTGATGGCATACAAAGATTAAAGATTAAAACCATCATAACAATATAACTGAGTATCCAAATGAGTTTTTGTTTAGTCCTATTCAAAATGAACTTTGATGTGTTTAGCACAGATTTTGAATTTCATTATCCAGTAACTGGATATATACTGTAAATACCCACACAATGATATATACTATGCTTGTCCAGAAGAAAACATGACATAATTATTTTAGCAACAAAATTACTGCATGACTTGCTACAAGATTTTCGTTATATAATTTAAGTTCTTATAAGAAAATGAAAACAAAACAAAACAAAACACTGGCATTGTAGCCAACTTCTTAAGTTTAAGATACCTTCCCTCTGAAGCACACCTATGGTATATGGAAGCTATCTTTCCAATTGCAATAAAGCACACCTATAGTATGTGGGAGCTATCTTTATGATTGCAATGAAGTACAAATGTTTACTCTAAAAAGATCCAAATAAATTTCAAATTCATTTGAACCGTGAATTCTTATTTTTTTCCTCTGATGATACAAGTAGAATATATAAATGTTTATAGAAATCTGATTTTAAATTTTTGAAGATCATCTGGAAAAGTATTTCAATATTAGAATCAGTATTTGTCTACATACAAACAAGAGTATTTTGGAAAATATAGTATATTACTAAAAAGGGCAATAAATGAGTAAATCAATACAGCCAAATTATTACTGATCAGTGCCCTAGTCCTGCTTGGCAGTGAAAGATTATACACAAGCAGAAAATAAACACAAGCTTTGAGCCATTCAAGACTAGAGAAAAATGAAGAGTATTTTAATTTGAAAGGAAGGAAATCTATCTGGCCAAAGAACATTTATGCAAAACAGTCACATTGTAATACACAAAGATACTACAACTACTCACTAGTATAAGTACAAGTGTAATTCTTCAACTTTCACTAACCTTCCTAAAGGAATTTCACTGATCGTTCGCTTGCTCATTCTGAAGTTTGCTTGAAATGTTTTAATATTACTACACTATAGCACTGTTTATTTTACAGAACAATATGACTATACAGTAGAACTTTTCTACATAAGACAGCATGACAATTGCTTTTCGAGCTGTAAGGGGAAGAAGAAGAACAGAAAGAATATTAGGCATATTACTAAATAAAATACTAATAGACATTTTAAATGATATCTATGTATTCTATAATATGAATTTCATAAAAATATGCCAAATAGCTTCCACATATTTCAAAGTTCACAAAGATTCAGAAATGTCACTTCTTTTTTAAATTCTCAACTCTGATTTTTAGAAGAGTGGAATTATAATTCACAATAAAGCTAGTGAAGACTTAAACAGCAAGAACACAGCTCCTAAATCTGTGAAATAATTAATCCATATTTAACAAAAAATAATGTGTTTCTAATTATGACTAAAAGCTATAGTACTTGCCCTTCTTCTATGCTTTGATCCTAGCAACTGCAAAGATAAGATGCAGAATATAACTATTTAAGCCTGTGGGATAGGTAAATCCCATAAAGAGAATACAATACATTAAATATATACTGAGTCGGCTGTCTGATTTTTTTCATCCTTTACAATAAAATTATGTCGCCTTATAGAGATCACATTATGTGACATCATATGGATTGAGATCACTGTAACAAGCTTAATCATTCCCAGTTAATCATCTATCTATATACAGGTAGTTCTTGACATATGGCCACAATTGAGCCCCAAATTTCTTTAACTAAGCGGGACAGTTGTTAAGTGAGTTTTACCCCCTTTTATGACCTTTCTTGCCACAGTTTTTAAGTTAGTTAACGCAGTTGTTAAAATGAATCTTGCTTCCCCACTGACTTTTATTGTCAGAAGGTCGCAAAAGATGACTACATGACCCCAGGACATTGCAACTGTCATAAATGAGTCAGTTGCCAAGCATCTGAATTTTGATGTGACCAAGGGGATGCTGCAACGGTCATAAGTGTGAAAAAAGGTCGTAAGTCACTTTTTTCATTGTAAGTCGAGGACTATCTGTACTACTAAAATTCTCATTCCCATAATCTTTAACTGGGCAAAATGGTGCCTCATAAGGCAATAATTTTTGAATCAAGGAATTTCAAATAGCTTTACTTAAGAGAATGTGTCAAAAATCAAGGTTCGATGATTCTTGTGGAATTGAAATTTGGCAACTAAATCAATTAAGGACTTGCTACCAAAGGATTAGTTTCATATCTAAACTGAGATAGAAGTATGTTTTCTTGTTCTTGCTTTAACTTGAAATGTAAAGCCACGCATCATGGTTTAGAAATTTGTGTCAATCGAGTCCCTAGCTTCTGAAAAACCTTAGCTTAGCATTATACATGAACACTGGTGTATTACTTTCTCCAATAAATGAGATTATAAGTCTAGGTATGCTCTTATAATAATAAACCAAGGGTTCTTATAATAATAAACCAAGGGTCAGTAATGATTTTTTTCGAATTCTCAGGTTTTTTTTTGTTAAATTCTCAGTTTACTGTTGCTCAAGAAAAAAACCAAGCTTCACTAGCTTTCTGGCTTATAATGTTGTGCAAACACAGAAACCAATTGATATGCTAAAATAGCACAAAATATCCACAACCAGATATACCCCATCAGATAATATTTACAAAGAAAAATGGACACCACTCAATTTTATTTAAGTACAAATAAGGTAGATGTAATAGGAAATATGAGGAATCTAAGTATTCCGCTACAAACTTTTGCTAAACTGGAATCAGAAACATAACATAGTGCATTAGGAGAGTCAACTATTTACATCTATTTCAAAAGGGGCAATCAGAATGGCAGAAAATTGTGATTTGTATAACTACATAAGATTCCTGCCATGACAATCCGCCTGTGCTGAAGTGTTGCTATTGCTAATACAAATATCATTTATTGTTGACCAAAAATTGAACCACTAGACTGTCTGCCTTTCAATGTGCTGTAAAGATATATTTAAAACTCCAATTCAGCATAGGCTGAGTGTGTCTGAACAGTTGTGTGAATAGAATCTAAGTGAAAGCCACTATTTATGATAATTCTGTATCTCATCTTTCCTTCTGCCCACCTCCCCATGAATTGTTGCATGTCTTTATAGTGGTTCCCAGAACTACATTCCATATTTCTGATGAAACATGTTACTTCACAAAAATGTATTCAGCAATAAATTTGCTAATCCTTAAGGCAGGGGTGTCAAACTGCCGGCCCGTGGGCTGAATGCGTCATGCCAAAACCGTGCCTACCCCAGCTCCGGGGGGGGGGGGAAAGAAGTCACGATAGGTCGCAACATGTCACGTGATGTGGCGAGTTTGACACCCCTGCCATAAGGTATCTCAAAACTGTTGTGTAGTTAATGATCGAATGGTAAATCCATTTGATCTCAGGTCCTCATTTTTCACCCTAGTTAATAACAACTCAGGAACTTCCCAGCTGGGTAGGAGCTTTGGCACAGGTCATCAGCACCTGGCATTCAGTTGCATTCTGCCTATAAATATAAAGGTAACAGTCAAAGCAGTACTAAGGAGGGTAAATGAATTATAGCATCACGGAGCTGGAAAGGTCATTTAGGTCATTAAGTACAATCCTTTGTTTAGTGCAAGAATCCAATTAAAGCATCCCAGCCAGATGGCTCCTTTCTGGAATACCTAAAATGACACCCTTCACCTCTCTCGTTAATTGGTTCCACTAAATAAGCTGTTATTCCGACTGTAAGAAAGTTTCCGCTAACCAGAATCTGACTTCCTGGTTCCTTCAACTTAAAACTTATTGGGGTTTTTTTGGGGGAATGAGAAGGGACAGGTCTTTCTCTCCCACCTGCATACTTTTAGTAATTTAAAGAGTTATCAAGTCTCCCTCAGGCTTCCTTCCCAATGGCTTCAATCTCTCTTAGGGGGGGGCTTCGTTTTTAGCCCCCCTCATCTCTTAACCTGCTCCAGTTTCTCGAATCCTTTAAATGGGGTGCCCAAGATGGGTTACACATTACGTCAGATAAAAATAAGTATCAGCAAACCCGCAAAAAAAAGGGGGGGTGGGGGAGAAGCAGACGAAATCAATGGAGGAAGAGAAGGCGTTAACGCGACAGAAGATAGCCGAGTCTTACGCTCTGAGGGGGGGAGGGCGGAGGGGAGCAACAGCCGAGCAAAGCTGTTGAAGCAAGGAAGCAAAAGGACCTCGGGGCCGAGCCTTTTGTGGGGAAGGGGGGAGGCCTCAGCATACGAAAACGGTACATGAGAACAGCAAGGAACCCAGCAAGGATTCCTATACCAACTCCCCAGTTTTGCCCCACTGCTAATTCGGAGAGCAGGCCCCAATCCAACTCTCTCTTTATTTCTCACCCTGAGGCCAGCAGGGAGGCGGAAGCCTTGGTCCCAGTATCCACTCCGGCCGCCTCCGGCTCCGTTCCTCCGTCAGGAGCCGTTAGTGGCGGAGCACGTCGCTCCACAGCGCGGAACTCAAAGAAACAAAAACAAAAAAGAGAAATGACCTAAATTGTCCCAAACGCGTCGCCGTAACCGACCGCCGTGATATATCGCGTGATCGAGGAAGGGCGGAACCGGAATTTGAAAGTGTCGCAGCCATCTTTACTTATGGTCACAGCTGGTTTCCCGCTCGCTTTGCAGAAAGGCGAAGGTTTTCTTCCTTTGGCCGGTGCAAAGAGATGGGTGGGGACTGTAGAGCGTGGCTTTGTTTATTTTCGGTATTTTATTCTATATTCGGCTTTTTTTTTCAAAACGGTTTTAAATATAAATATTGGAGTCTGATTATGATAAAGATAGATTTAGAAAACTTAACACCTGATACATTAATTATGACATCGTATCCCAATGTAGCTCCAGTTATGTTTTAATATACACTAATACAATTATATTAGTTCCCAAACGACACTAAAAAAAGACTTTAAAAAACCCCAAAAGTCTAGCACAATTCCAATGAAGAAGAAGAAAAAGATTCTTTTCAAAAGAAACCAGCATGCCTGCGGTGTTCCAATATCTAAGGGGTTGCACAAAGAAGAGTGGGGTCAGCCTGTTCTCCAAAGCACCTGAAGGCAGGACAAGAAGCAAAGGATGGAAACTAATCAAAGAGAGAATCGACCTAGAACTAAGGAAAAATTTCCTGACAGAACAATTAATCAGTGGAATGGTTTCCCTCAAGAAATTGTGGCTGCTGCAAACTGGAGATTTTTAAGACAAGATTGGACAACCACTTGTCTGAAACAGTTAGGGTTTCCTGCTTGAGCAGGGGGTTGGAGTCAGTGGTGGGATTCAGCTGGTTCGCACCACTTCGGCAGAACCAGTAGCTAATTTTTTGTTGCCCAAGCCCAGAATGGACTTCCAGAATGTGGTTTACAATGAATTTCAGCATACAGATAAATATTTCCACAAATTGTGCCTAGGAATTTCCCTTGCCTATAAAGACAATTTATAACTCATATTTTATAAATAAGCATTAGGGAACCAGTTTAACTGAAAACAAGTTTTTTTCAAATTAATATGCGTAATATTGCAATTAAATCCTTTATATAAAAGTATTCTTTTCATGGAGAGTAGTCTTGACATGTCAACACAATTTAAACATAGATAGATAGATTTTGGGGTACTGCAATGGCAAAGATACCGTAAAACAGGCTTGTAGGTTCATTCTTAATATTTAACATATACAGTATTTTCACACAATCCTACTGTGACAATGTACCCCTCAAGACTTTTTCAACACCGTCCATACACAATTCACTCAATCTTTCCCTCTTCTCATTTGCATTGTATTTGTTGCTACACATAGACCATTTTTTTACAAGGGAGTTGCTGCAATGAGACTTTAAAATAGCCTCTTTTACATTAACATGGATTACATTAACAAGGATTATTGTAAATCCTTATTGCTAGTGGGAGGTGATTTTTCAAAAGGGACTTGCAACATTGTGCGGGTGAGAGAGAAAGAGAGATTTAAAATGTGCCTTTCCTTGAAAACTGCCTTTTTGTGTTGCAGTGAGGCTGTAAAAAGCTTCCATTGACATAAATGGAAGTTATTTTAAAGCCTCATTGAAATGAAGAATGGAGGATGTCTTCACTGGTAGACAAAGGGATTAATCCTTCCTAGCAATAAGCAACCTTTGAAAATGTTCATGTTATACTAAGGCTTGCTGGCCATGAGCTGCGCAAAGTCAGGGAAAGGTCTTTTCTCTGACTTTGGAAAAATGAGCAGGACTTTAATAATAATAATAAAGTTGGAAAGGACCTCAGAGGTCATCTAGTCCAACCCCCTACTCAGGCAGGAAGCCCTATAACATTTCAGACAAATGACTGTCCAGTCTCTTCTTAAAAACTTCCAGTGTTGGAGCATTCACAACTTCTGGAGGCAGGTTGTTCCACTGATTAATTGTTCTAAGTGTCAGGAAATTTCTCCTTAGTTCTAGGTTGCTTCTCTCCTTGATAGGTTTCCATCCATTGCTTCTTGTCTTGCCTTCAGGTGCTTTGGAGAATAGCTTGACTCCCTCTTCCTTTTGGTGACCCCTGAGATATTGAAATACTTAATCCTTAGTAAAAACCAGGGGTAGTCAACCTTGGCTCTTTTATGACTCGTGGACTTCAATTCCCAGAATTCCTGAGCCAGCTTAGCTGGCTCAGGAATTCTGGGAGTTGAAGTCCACGAGTCATAAAAGAGCCAAGGTTGACTACCCCTGGTAAAAACAAATAAGATATCTCTGGGAAAGGAGTATACATTCTGAAGAGGGTAAGGATCTTTCCTAGCTGTTATCAGACCATATAGGAAACATCTGGTGACTGGACTGGACCCTTTTTTGTCCTTTAAGACAAAACTGATCTTTAACCGATTTCAGTGAGACTAAAACATTTTTGATTTATTCTGATTTAATCCAGAAGCACCGAGTAATTAATGAAGCTGTATTCCTGAACCCATATTATTAGGATCTGGGAATTAAGTTCACTAAATATAATAAGGCTTACTGGTATATATGTTATTCAGTACAGCAGAAGACTGGCAGGCAAATGAAGAGTAACATTGGCAATGGCTGCAATTGCAGTCAAAAAAACACAGTGGCTGTGCTCATGCAGTACACTAAGCTCATTAAAAATTAATCAATTTCTTTTGTTTGCACATTATATTGACTAGTTCAGGTTTCAAATGGGCTGATTGACATAACATACTAAGACAATAAATGCAAGGGAGCATCTTCCAGTGAAGGAGAGCTCTTACTCCCTGCAACTGCTGCATCTGTCAAGAGTTTTAAGGATTCAATATTTGGTCAGGAAACTGGAACAAAGTCGCAATGACAAATTGTATTTAAATGATCAACATGTTCCTATACAGGGAGTTCCTTGCTAGCTAGTAATAACATATGGCACTGTGCTGAAGTGAAATGCTGCAATTTCCCACTTCGTAGCCAAAGGAAAGGTGAATAATAAAGGTAGCAGTTTAGAAATTTCATTCAAAGATGTTTTATTCATTTTTGAAAAAAAATATCCTTTAATATAGTGCCAAAATGTCAGTTTACACAATATTTTGTTTGAATAATACATAATCCAGTGGTAGCTATTTACTCCATTTACTAGTTGTAAAAGCACAAGATCACAATTCGGAACTATAGTTTTTCTGTTTAAAAGATTGATGATACCATGGTTTATAATATGTAAGGCTACATTAATACTATGTTTAGAAACTGGCAACTTTGTAATACATCAGATAGTTTCCTCCAGTAGTTAAGGTATCAGGGTAGAAACCAGGAAACTCTGAGTTCTAATCCTGTCTTAGCGATGAAAGCCAACTGGGTGATTTGGGGCCAGTCATTTGCTTAGCCCAACTCATCTTACAGGGTTATTTTGTGGGAAAAATAGGAGAAGGAAGGAGGTATGTTTGCTGCCTTGAGTTATTTATAAAAATAATAAAGGCAGGATATAAATAACTACAATATATATATATTAATACTTTCTTTTAAGATTGTATTTTTTATTTTAGCAAAATAAAACAATAAAAACATTGCACTTTTCATTATTGCACAACACTGATTTTCTAGTTTTTGATAGAAATATTGTACTGTTATAATACATATTATTAAAATTTCATAAAAGCATTTGGTTTAGTTTCAGGCTGTTTTTCCTTGGGCAACAAAACTGGAACTTTATTTTCAGATGACAGTTCTGTTCAGTTGGGATTTCTCATGCAGACTTGACAGCGACTAATTATATTTTCCATATTTCCAGCTTTCAGAGTTTGTGGCACTGGTTTCCTTTAAATAATAATAATATATTTTAAATAAAACATTACTCCCATATCTTAAACATAAAACTAATAAAACACTACATTGTCAGTCACCTATATTTAAATCAAAGTACAAAAAGTAAAAGTAATAATTAGGACCATGTAGTCCTTTGCATTTGAAGACAGCTGCCGTAGAGCAAATAAAACACATGCCCTCAAGTAGCATATGTCTGTAATTCTTGAAAATAATTATTTTTTTTCCTGGAGTCTTCAGGGTGACCCTGAGAAAAGTTATTGCTGATTTAATAGTTGATGACAGAAATTCCAGACACATCATCCAAAGCACCTTTTTGTCTTTGAATCAGAAGCATTAGACAGTCCTGACAGAAAACAGATGTTTGTCATAAAACTATTTATCTATCAAATTTTTAAACTGCCAATCTCTCTCACAGAGGGACTTGTTAAATAAGGCATGTAATGGCAGGTAGGTATCAAAACATAGATACTAATATCAGTTTTATTTGTGAATTGGCCAAGTGGTAGCATATTACAGTACAATGAAGGAATGAACTGACTCATTTTAAGTTGCATCAGTGACAAAGTAGTATAAATAAACATACTTGAACATTCTTCTTGAATTTAGTGTAGCCAACCAGAAACTGTAGGAATTTGAGTAGTAATTGCATGTTCCTCGGCCATGACATTCAATGAATGGAAGGGCACGAAATTTTTCTAAGCATGACCCTGGAGATGCCAAAGCTTGTCCAGAAGCTTCTGAACCGGCGCCTGTATACTGTAAAGATAAAATACTGTCATAAAAATCTGTTTTGGTTAGTAATCTGTGGATAAGGAATACCAGTTTTAGACTTCCAACAATAGTTGCATCCCAGAATATTAAGATCTCAAAAGAATTCATCCAGGTTACTTTTACATAGTAGTTTGGTAGTTTTTGCTAATATTAGTAGGATTTGTAGCATCATAGAACAGATACTTTTAGGAATGCATTCAGATACTTTTAGGAATGCATTCTTTTTTTTCCTTTGGGAATTTTTTTACCCTTCTGGGCTGGAGTATAATCATACAAATGTAACATAGTTTTGTGAGGATTCTTGTGACTTTTAAATTAAATATAGCAAACTTTATAAAACATTTTAGGACATAAAAATTATCCTAAAGCATTTTATGACACAATACAAAACGTCATGAAACATTTCCTGTGGTTAAATCCTGATGTTTGACTATGATATACTGGGCTACTTCAAGGCAGATATATATCTGAATATTTCCTGAAGTTTTCAAGTACATTAGAAGTTCTGCCATTGTTGACAGTATTGATGAATATTTGATGATCCAATGGGTCACAGATTGGTTAGTATACAACTAAAACTCTCATTTCTATGTGATATTTTGTAACCTTCACTTGGATGAAATGCTGCATCACTTTCTCAACAGATGTGTATCAAGTGGACTAACTTACAGAATGCTGGGACCTATTGCTCCTGTGGCACTGCCATAATCAGCTATAATCATGTGATCCTCATTTTCAACATTCCCTGATAGTTTCCCACAAGTCAATGGGGAACCTGGAAGGAACTGATATGTACTGTCGATGTTTCTAGTCACCTTACCACTAGCAAAGTCTTTGCTTGTGGGAAGCTTGCAGAAAGAAAATCAATGGAGAAATAGTCACGTCTGCTCTTACACTGCACTGGCTACTCATACACTCCCGCCCTCCCTCCCCATCTGGCAGCAGCCACTTACCTGTTGGCTGGGAAGGGGAGGGGGGGGAGGAAAGGTAGGCAGGTAGGCAGGAATTTCTGACATTCTGCCATCTTCCCACTAAAGAATTTGGGGGGGGGGGAGCTGACAGGAAGTTGGAGGTCAGTCCTGCTCCCAATGATTTTTTGCCCATATATGATCTTTCTTTTTCTCTGTTTAGATAAGGAAATATCTCTGAAACAATGACCCTCTGGGTCATAGGTTGTCTATTAAGTACTAACACTATCTTTATTGTAAGAGTAGAGTAACAGAATCTTGTGAAAGCACTTCTCCTCTCCCTTGCTTTTACTTTCCAGGGAATTAGGGAAGATTCTTTCTGAGATGCTTTCTCTATCCACATTCCTTCTATGGGCTAAGATATCTTGTGTCTGACATTGCTTTAGTTGTGGCTCTTTGTTCAGTCTCCAAAAATTATTCTCTCAACCCATTATACAGTCCCTAATGTATCACAACTGCTGCCAGTAATATTTTAAATTGTGCAAGTGCATACAGTTGGTTTGACATTTCCCTTGTTTCTTCTGGTATTGAACAAGTGGCTGACTTTAATGTAGCACTATGGCTCAGTGGTTAAGACACTGGACTTAGAAAGCTGACAGCCTGAGTTCAAGACCCAAGCATTGCACAATGGGGTGAGCACCCATCTTCGCCTAGCTCCTGCCCACCTAGCAGTTCAAAAGCACGCAAATGCGAGAAGATAAATAGGTGCTACTTCAGTGGGGAGGAAACAGCGCTCCACAACATCATGCTGGACACATGACCACGGAAACGTCTTCGCACAACAATGACTCAACAGCCTTGAAACGGAGATGAGCGCCGCCTCCTATAATTGGCAACGACTAGCGGAGTAAAATCCGCAGGGACTTCTTTCTTCTCCTTATCAGTTTCTTACCAAGAAAAGAACAACAGATTCCTCAAGAATTTCTGGTCTCAAGTTTTGACGTTTTTGAGGTGGTGCGAGACAGATGGGCCTGGAGAGTGCTGATCCATAGAGTGGCCGAGGGTTAGACACAATGCTTAAAACCAGATATCCCTTGTAAAAACCATGATACTGCAATTGACAGCCTGATTTTAAAGAACTAGCAAAGTACTGCTGTAGCTGCTTTGTTTTTCAGTAAAGCTGCCAGCCACTCTGTTAGGAATCTGGGGCACCTTTTCCAACTAACACATTTTATTAGAAGGCATGAGCTGCAGCTCATTTCATAAGAGACATAGAATGGCAAGACTGACATAGGATTTAAATTGGAGGCAGTAGGGACAGGAGAGGAGGGGGAGATAAGTTGGTTGTGTAGATGCAGCTTACACGTGAGATA